CAACCGATGAGATAATCGACGACAAACCCTTAAACTTTTGTAATATTCGGTCCCACAGAAACTCCTCCTTTCTTGGTCAGTATGGAAGCATTATTTGAGTAGACAAGCAATATGCTAAATAGATCGAGTTAACACGTGCATAAATTGCTGAGCTTACACGAGGTTCAAGATAGAGCACCTGATGGCACTCTTAAAAGAATGCTTGAGCTGCTCAATCTTCAGATGGTCTGGAAAGTACTACGCTCAAATAAGAGGGTTGGCAATGGGACAACGACTGGCTCCAAGCCTTGCCATTGCATTTATGTCTAAGGTGGAAGCACCGGTGACTGATCTCGGGCCGCTACTCTACTGTAGGTATGTAGACGACTGCTTTGTCCTTTGCTCAACACAAGAGGAAATGGACAAATGTTTCGAATTGTTAAACGCACAGTCAGAGTATATCAAGTTCACCCGAGAAAAGCCGAAAGAAAAATGGCTTCCATTTTTGAGCGTACAAATTCACCTATCAGAAAATGGCTACATTACGAAGTGGTACCGAAAGCCAAGTAGTAAAAACATCTTGGTTCACTACCTCTCCTCTCACCCCTTCCACACGAAAAGGGCGCTTATAAGAAACATGTTTCGAACAGCAACCAACGTGTGCACGGGAAGAGAGCAGAGAGAGGAGTCCCGGAACTTGGCACGGCAAATAGCCATTTCTAATGGCTACGAAACTGTAGCTCAGGATAGGTGTAGAGGAAACCACAGGTACCCCAACGATAACTCTAGCGACAACAAGGTCCCGTTTATCCTACCCTTCATCTCAAATGATATAAGTACAGCTATAAAACGCTGCTTGAGAAGGGCGGGCTTAGAGAATTCAGTAAGCGTAGTTGAAATACCACCGAGTAATCTTAAGCGCCAGCTAGTTCGTAAACGCCTATATGACCGCCTATGTGCAACTCAAAATTGCATAATTTGCCCCAGCGGTAGAGACGGTGATTGCATGAGCTCGGGTATAGTTTATCTGATCTCCTGTAAGACGTGCGGTGTCGAATACATTGGCGAAACGGGTAGACCCCTTTGTGTCCGCATAAAAGAACACCTAGCCGGCAAACATAGACCAAATACACCGCTAGGCACGCATAGGACCCAGAGACATAACGGGGACGACTTCGAAGTATGTGTCACGATCCTCGCACGCGAATTAGGAACACAGGCGCGAAAAACTCTCGAGGAATTTTAGATTAATTCCAGAAATCCGAAAATGAATCGCAGGGAAGAATGCCTCATTATCGCGCGTGATATAGGGCAGTATATATGACTGCTATTCTGATGGGAGGGGCACATTATACTTCCACGTGATTTCTGTGCGGTTGGTCTCTACGTGACATACTTAGTGGAGACTTCACAGAAAGCGGTGAGTGTGCAAAGCTGTGTTCAAAGTGATTGAAATCTTGGTTTGGAGTTTCTTTGTTTGGTTATGGAGGCATATGTGATTGAAATCTTGGTTTAGAGCTTCTTTGTTTGGTTATGGAGGTGTCTGGCCGAGTGGATTGCTGTCAACTTGACCTTTCCAGGCTCTGAGGAAGGCGAAATCTGCCGAAACGTCAGCTTATTCGTGAATAAAGAACAATAACACCTCGCGTTTGCTCAACAAAAATACGAAGAATTACTTGATCAATGCCGAGGTTAATAGAAAGTCGGTCGTGGGAGATATTTACTTGGATAATTCTTTCCACTTCTGTTCAGCAAACACGAGGTGCTATTCCACTTCCCCACTCACGTAAACCTGACGTTTCGGCGGATTTCGTCTTCATCAGAGCCTGCAAAGGTCAAGTTGACAGCAACCTATTCGGCCAAACACCTTCATAACCAAACAGAGAAAACGCTAAACCAAGATTTCAGTCACACTGAACACAGCTTCGCGCATTCACCGCTTTCTATGAGTCTTCCACTGAGTATGTCGTGTGAAAACCAACCGCACAGAACTCACACGGAAGCGTAATGTGCCGCTCTCATCAGATTAACAGGTTTATACACTGCCTTATGTCACGCGTGATAATGAGGCATTCCTCCCTGCCGTTCATTTTCGGATTTCTGGAATTAATCCAGAATTCCTCGAGAGTTTTTCGCGCCTGTGTTCTTGATTCGCGTGCGAGGATCGTGACACATACTTCAAAGTCCTCCCCGTTGTGGTCCTATGCGTGCCTAGCGGGGTATTTGGTTTATGTTTTCCGGCTAAGGGTTCTTTTATGCGGACACAGAGGGGTCTGTCCGTTTCGCCAATGTATTCGTCTCCGCACGCCTTACAGGAGATCAGACAAACTATACCCGAGCTCATGCAATCACCGTCTTTACCATTGGAGCAAATTATGCAATTGTGCGTTGCACATAGACGGTCATATAGTCGGTTACGAACAAGCTGGCGCTTAAGATTACTCGGTGGTATTTCAACTACGCTTACTGAATTCTCTAAGCCCGCCCTTCTTAAGCAGCATTTTATAGCTGCACTTACATCATTTGAGATGAAGGGTAGGATAAACGGGACTTTTTTTATCGCTAGAGTTATCGTTTAGAGGCCTCCGATTTCCCCTACACCTATCCCAAACTGCAGTTTCGTAGCCATTGGAAATGGCTATTTGCCGCGCCAAGTTCCAGGACACCTCTCTCTGCTCTCTTCCCGTGCACACGTTGGTTGCTGTTCGAAGCACGTTTCTTACAAGTGCTCTTTTCGTGTGAAAGGGGTGAGAAGAGAGGTAATGTACCAGGATGTTTTTACTACTTGGCTTTCGGTACCACGTCGTAATGTAGCCATTTTCTGATAGGTTAATTTGGACGTTCAGGAATGGAAGCAACTTTTCTTTCGGTTTCTCTCGGATGAACTTGATATACTCTGACTGTTTATTCAACAACTCGAAGCATTTGTCCATTTCCTCTTGTGTTGAGCAAAGGACAAAGCAGTCGTCTACATACCTACAGTAGAGTAGCGGCCCGAGATCAGTCACCGGTGCTTCCACCTTAGACATAAATGCAATGGCAAGGCTTGGAGCCAGTCGTTGTCCCATTGCCAACCCTCTTATTTGAGCGTAGTACTTTCCAGACCATCTGAAGATTGAGCAGCTCAAGCATTCTTTTAAGAGTGCCATCAGGTGCTCTATCGTGAAGCCATACATGTTTATTTCTCCTTCGTGTTGTGTAAGGAGTTCGAATATGGCTTGCATTGCGGAGTCATTCGACACGTTTGTATAAAGGGCGGTAACGTCGAAGGACTCCATCACGCACGCGCTGTTGGGCTGCGCAGTACGTAGACGATCCAGAAACATCTGGGTATTCGTAAGATGGGCTGGAATGTGTTTCAACAACTGGTTCAATAATAGGGTTAAACATCATGTTATCCTGTCCGTTGGCCCGTCTTCACAGCTAATGGTAGGTCTAACCTTAAATAATGATGGATCGGTAGACGCAAGATCATCGCTGGATACTAACTTATGAGTTTTTATAAGAAAGTGCAAGACGGGACATGTTGCCGAACAGAAGTGGAAAGAATTGTTCAATCAATGCCGAGGTTAATAGAAAGTCGGACTTGGGACTTACTTGGATATTTGGACGGCCCTTCCTCACTAGTTGCGCGGGCCCCAGCACAATCTCCATCATTTTTGGAGACCTGCTAGTTTAGCAATCGCGGTTCCCTGAAATCCCGGGGTTGTCCAGGCCTAAGTCTGCCCAGGTCGTCACCACCACAGGTAGGCGCAGTCCTTATGCATCAGAGGGAGATTTGTCACCATGCGACTAGTTTGACACCAGAACTGTCGTGGATCCTGGTATTGGTTCACTTTTAGCTGGACTTCCTGAAGGAAACACCTGTTCCAAGCCATCTCTGCTGCACTACGAGCGAGGTTGAACTCATAAAGGAGAATTTGACGAAAATTCATCCTTGACATCTAAAACTGCAAAGCTCAAGATTGGGAGGAAAAAAATTGACTTGTGGCAAAATGTAAAAGAATGGTTAGGAAGAACTTAAAATCAGTTTTCTAATGATATACTATTTCACTGGTAAAAAATATATTGAAACAATAAATACTTTAAACGCTCATTTATTTCTGAACAACTTAGTAGTTCTGAATGAATTGCCTTTCGGGTCTTATATGATTAACTTGGTGCACATTAGAAGGAATTTATATACAGGCTTCTCGTTGCGGACTACTTCCTCTAACTTCCTCTATCTAGTTGTGGGACGCGCCCAGTTGGCTCTCATCAGGTGTAGAAGTTGGTGAATTGACGACACGGACTTTTCTCCAGCGCTCAACTTAGAAATGAAGAATGGCCAAGCGTGGTGATAGCATTTCGTAAGAGGTGACTAGATGGGAAATTGATGGATGCACGACGAAGCCAACGCCTTCGACACTCCGCAACGGAGATTTTCCTCCACGAAAGACAAGGGTCTCGTCATTGAATTGCTACATGTCGCTCTTCCTGTTTTCCGTCTCTTACTAGAAGATCCCAGGGAATTCCATCCGATCTGGGTTTTCAGGAACGGTTCCGTCATCTAGTTGGCGTACGTCTGTCTTTCTGCTTTTCGTCCGTTGTAGGAAGACCATGAGGAATTGGATCCGATCAGGGTCCTCAGCAAGAGCGGAGGATTGGCGTCTGAGGGGGTGTTTCGGTGTTGTAGGTGCAGAACGATAACGTGTCGTGGATTCCCGTTTCTTCCGTTCCTGGCTCCGTTAAGCAATGTATCGATGAATTCATTTGGATACGTTATTTAATTTATTTTTCTCCTTCTTCCTTTGTATTTTAAAGCGTAAGAGGCTGAACGTCCAGGTATAATTGTTTCTCTCAGCTATCAGCTATTTACTATGGAAGTGCAAATTGTCGTAAATTTCTCCAGTGTATAAAGACGCTGTTTGACCTTAAGGCCTTAAAACGGTATTCACTCTAAGGATTTCTAGGAGTCTTTTTTACTTTATGTTAGTTGAGGTGCTTTCAGCTTCGTAAGTGTCGTTATTGCTGAGAACAGTATGGAACTTGCCGAATACCAGTACCAATCAGACGGTGTTAAAATGAAGGTGACAGTTTGTGACGCAAACATAACGCGTTACCTATCTGGAAAACACAACGAACTGCACGTTTGCTTTTTGGTGAGTACAGTTCCAGCCGTGTAGTTGAAAACGCTGCTCTTCATTCAATCAATAAAACCAGTATCCTTGCATCGATACGGCTAGTGTTTTTTACTTTAGCTATAGTATGTTTTCTAGTTGTTCTATATTAAATATTATGAACGTTAGTTCTTATACAATGTTATTGTATTTCTAGCAAGAACAGTCTCATGTTCCAATAATGGGACTTGCAACGTATAGCTACGACGATATCTGGACGCTTGATATTAACCGGTTAGGGAACTCCTATTCACCTTTTCTGTAAGTTTTCTTTTCGTCACCTTTTTCCTTCCGACCCACATATCGGGATTCATACTACATATGGTTGTAGTTTTGTGACTTTCTTACCTATCAATCTTAGTTTCGGTGAAACACGGCTACCGAAGTGGCTGGAAGAGGAAGGGCTTGTCAAAGGTGATACTATTCAAGTTCAGTTCATTTTCAACGGAGATGTTATGTATTTGAGGTTTGTTGCTTTAAAGTTGAACTTTTTGTGATAACTAACTTTTCAAACCAATTTTAAGTAGTGTCTGCTGCCTATTATTAGAGCTTTACTGACTAAAGCGTACATACTTAGATACCTGGATGGCCCGTCTTCACTGGTTGTACAGGCCCTAGCATAATTTCTTTTTTTGTAGGAGTTTTGCTAATCTAGCCATTGTGGTTCCCCGAAGTTCCGAGGCCAGCTTAGCCAAAGTCTGTCTCAGGTGGTCACCACCACAGGCAGTCGCCACCCTTGTAGATCAGAGGGAGATTTGCCACCATGCGATCAGTTTGGTATCAGGATGGTGATGAATCCTGGTATTGGTTTACTTTAGCCGGGCTTCTTGATCGAATCGCCGGAATCCTTCTTAGCATGAAAGATCCTGCTGGGAGGATAAATGCTCCCGCTGTACATCGCAGTCTGACACCCAGGAACATCTCTCAACCGCGATGAGGCGGTGAACCGTTGGGACGATACTGACGAAAAGTGTGTCAGAATTATCTGTCCATGAATTCTAACACATCCTTTTTTACTTAGCGAATCCTTTTTTCCTGTTGTCCTCTTTTCAGTCTATCAGTGTTTCCATGGTTTCCGTTGACATTTTCGTAGGAGAACTGCAGTGTTATTTCGTCGAAAACCTTATTGCTTAACACGAGACTAGGGGACGATGACCAATTCTTCACGCATACACCATAAAGAATACTTTTATTTCGATTAGTTGTCTTTTCACTAATATGCTGAGAAATTGTGCTACAATGAGGCACCAACAACATTTACGGTTTCCAGCCTAAAATTATAATGTAGTGGAAGTTCTCCGTTGTTTTCTCAGGAAGCTCTAAATCTAGCAGAAATAGAGTGATTCACTTACATCTGGGTTCTAAGCACCTTATACTCCACTATTTTACACTTATTTTATTTTTTAAGTGTTTATGTTTATTCATGGAAATACAAAAGTGCGATGGCTAGTACCGTCGGTTACCTTGGTCTGAACTTCTCAGCTTGGATATGAGAAGTGGAATAGACGTTACAATCATACACTTTTTTTATGAGGATGGGTGCGGGAATGGCGGAGAAGACTATTTTCGTTGATATATAATGTAAACGAATAAAAATTGTGTGAAGAAATCCGAATTTTCAGAGTAGCTTCGATACTATTTAGGCTTGGCAAAAACAGGCAAGATTGGACAAGCTCCTTGATGACGAAATTTAACAAATCTATTAAAGTTTCTTTCGTTGTGGAGACTGCGAAGGTGAAAGCATTTTTTAAAAGTGCAACTACAATTGTGTTCGATTGCTTTCGCTTTATTTTCGTCGGTTAGATCAGTGGTTTTCCTTTCACTTTCTCACATTCTACGTACTTTGATCTTTAGGAGAACTTCTTCGTAATAAGAGACGACTTATACCTTGACTATGTTCTCAATGGGAAACCACGGAAACTGGGTTATTGTGCAAGTTGTGCCGACGAAAATAAGGACAGGGTAGGTTCTTTGCACTCCTTAATATCTAGTTCCATATCTTTAAGTTTTTGAAGGAGCTACTTTTTTAAAATACCCCATTCATACCTCCTTAGCTTGCTGTGGCTAAATGTGGGCATTACATGTGTATGGCTTGCTGGAATAAGTGGACGAAAGGAAAGTTTGAAGTGTTGTGTTATATTTGCAGCGAAAAAGGTAAATCATTCAGTCTTGCTTGTTATTTCCTTTTAATTTCAGTCTTTCACGTTCTGAAGTTTTTTTTCATAGTCAGCTTGACTCTCGATAGCCTTGTAATTTAATGCTTTTAGTCCATGACCATGTGATTGCCAGATTTCGCGATAGTCCTTGTCCAGTTGACCATTGTCGTTCAGGGGACGGCAATCGAGACCACGTGCTGGTGCCGTGTGGGTTAGTTATGCGTATTTGTCGTCGACTTTTGTTGCAGAATTCGCAGAGTTCGTTGAAAATATATAAGTGAAGTCTCATTCCTCCTTTTTATAAGTGTTCCTTAGTAGTATAGGAGCACTGTCTTCAAGAAAACAGTTATCCTAAGATTCATCCACGTGAGAATGTTGATCAGATGGGGAAATTGGTGATTATTTCTGTTGTGTTGCTCTTTTTGAAAACCATTACTTTCTTCTTGGGGTTTAACTAGTTAAGATACCAGCAAAAATCTGTGTTCGGCTATATCACACTAATAAGTTAACTTCGCATGCATCTTTTTCAACTTTACAAAATCTCGCTTTTTAGGTGTATTGTTCGTTGCATGCCCGAGAAACGTATTGGAGAAAGCAAGATTTTTTGCCCCTATGAGTTATGTAGCAGACCTGTAAAAGAGAAGTGGGTTTTATATTAGGTCAGGAATTATCATCGATCATCATCATTGTGTTCCGTTATATTTCCTTTATGTCAGCCTGCCTGGTTCATATTTAAAATAAATGTTATGAAAAATTCTGTTAGAGAACATAAAGATCTGCTGTGGTGGAAAATCCATTTTTCGTCAAAGTACTCTGTATTCTGGACGTTCTTAGATCCTTAACAGTGCGGATTCTATGCCATTAGAGATGTTCTCGTTTGTAAAAAGGTCTCTGACACCATAAAACAAAACTGTAATTAATAAAATAGCACAAACTCGTGAGTACGACGCTAGAATGTAAGAACTGAGCTAAACGGAGTAGTTTGACCCTATATATGAAATAAATGCTCACAGATGCATGTTAGTGGTAAATATTCGCTGTTGCTATACTTGTACGTGCTTCGCGTTTCTTAAGTAATAAATATTCTCCTTTACGGAGAAGGGAGCGTAGGAAGTATAGTGACTAGAGAAATAGGCGCCGTGCAATCCACACATGGTCGATGGTTAGACTCCTGCTGTTGCAACTAAGTGGCCGATTACGTTGTGGATTGCAAATTAGTACCAGAATGGGTTGCAAATTATTATCAGAATACCCAGCTGAGAACTCTGCGATCCTTGCAGGTCGGTGATTGTCTCTGGTGAACATGTGGGAATCTTCTAATATAGCGATCACGGGATTACAGGCAGAATAAACCGGACTAGATTCAACGATATTCACGAATGGGACGACGTCAAGTGGCAACCGAAACCGTTCCTAAATCCGAACACCTTCGTGGATGATGGATCTGAGGCTGCAAACCGAATGACAGAAGTTTACATTCGCAGAATATCCGGCAGAGGTTAATATAGACTATGAAGTATGACAAAATGTACAAGCAAAAAAGGTACAAATTAGTGTACAGCATGGTAAAAGCACTTTTACGTTCCTAAGAACTAAGTTTTACTCGGTTACTTGTTGTAGATATGTTGTGTCAACTTCATTGAACTCTATTTAAAAATCTTACTGAACAATCATTAGATTGTGTTTCACATAATACCTCACCATGAGAAAATAATAGGGAGTAAATGAAAACATTGTCATTTCGACTGCAGGATCAGCTTACCTGTAACTGTATCTCTTTAAGAGATGATAATGTCACTACAAAATAGTTCGATAAATTATGATTGCTGTACAGCGTGTACGAATACTGTGAGTTCTAATTTCTATGTCGTTCTAATTCTCGAGAAGTTTCGTGACTCACTGAGTTAGATCTCTTAAGTCGATGGAAGGGAGAGCAATTTTTTTCTGTAGCTATACTTCGGTTTGGACTCTTTTCAAAGCCATACTTGTTCGTCTAGCTATCCTTCATCTAGTGTTCTCTTCGTACTGTTGAAAATCACTCATGCTGACAGACGTCAAAAAGTAAGCCGATTGGATGATAGCTGCTGTGCTTCACTTTCTGTGAAACAACCCGGCGCTTATGGCGCTTATGGCGCTTATGGCGATTAACTATTGATAAGGAGCCTTGCTACTTAGTAGGGAGTGTGTGAAAAGCTGAGCTTGTTCTGATGAGAAGCGGTGGTAGATTTTTCGGATACAAGTGCTTTTTCCCTTTCGAACCTTCTGTGCACCTTTAATTATCTGAGAGATGGCATGTCGGACTTCGCAATGGAGGACCGTTGAAGCGACATTTCCCTTTTCTTTACATAATACAGAGGCAATGAGATACAGCTGGGAAATAGAGTGAGATAGAAGTGGTGAATAACCTTTCAATTCTCCTTCTGGCTACTATATGTATTCTTTATGCGCATCAGTAGTGCATCCGTCTAGGTTTTCTAACTGCCTATGTCATTATAAGTGTTGTCGGTGGTCTTGTAAAACGTTTGTTGTTTCAGATGCTGTTCTTTTCCTCTAAATATATTCTGTCGCTTACAATGTCAGCTTTCCAAAACTGGACTACACACGTAATCTATGATTAATTTGGGACTTATGGATTACAAATTGCGAGAGGAAGGCGATGATGACTCGATTTACTAGAGCTCTAGAACAATAGCGATGTCGACTAGGTAAAAAGTTCCGGTTTACTGCGATATCATCTATTTTGTCATGTCGTTCTCTATAGGAAGAGTGCCACGATCAACAATGAGACAACGATCTTTAGAATTTTGTGTTACTTAGAGTTAGTTATAATAATAACCTCTAATAGACTGCAGCCCTCTTCGTTAAATACCGTGGGTGCTGTGTGGTCTTCTAGTTTTTTTTTCCTTAAAGTCAGTCTTAGCAACAAAGGAGTTAACGATAACCTTGCGAAATGTATGACTTTCACTGTCGGAATTCATATAAGAGCTTCGGTTTAACGCAGTGAGAAGGACTACCAGCTCGTAGTTCATTAACATCTCTGTGCTCCTCACTCCATTACACAGGCTGGCCTGAAATGCTGAAAAGCATCACTTTGTTTCCAAGTAATTCCAACAGTACTTAACACTTACAAACCAGTGCCCATGTCAGCATCGCTGATTCATCTATTTTGCGCATAACCTTTCAGCATTTTCGCTGTGAGTGGATGTCAACTCATGTCGGTCCAATTGTTCCGTAGCAAACGACTCCGCCACTTTGGTTGTTCGTTCCTCCCCATAACTCAGTCTTTCCTTCTTCTCATTAGCGTTGCGGCGGGTTTCATTTTCCACATATCCAATAAGTTCTATGCATTCTGACATAATTTTGAAACATTTCGAACTCTTATGACGCAAAGAAAACTTGTCCACTGTACATCTACGTTGTTGTCAGCATTTGCTAGTCCATTTCACCACATACACGGTTCATATTTCATTCCTTTAATATAACCGTATTCTACAATAGGCCTCTACAAGTCTTCTCAGTGATGATCTTATAGTAGCCAAACGTGTCTGTGAATGCTGAACCTCAGGGTTGAAGTACAGCAGACGTGTTGTTCCTCTCTAGACGACAACGGTGGCAACCGGCCGCTTCTCTCCTCTCCAGGAACATTCCCTAACCCATGAAATTAACACTCTTGCGACGATGCCTAATTTCACGTCCCTGCAGAATGAACAACGCGCAATTTTTCGCTGCTCTCACTGCCACACCTATCTAACCCACCCCCCCNCCCCCCCCCCCCCCCCCCCCCCCCCTTGTTGTGATTTCCGCTCCATAAACCGCTTTTTCTCTGCGTTTAGCCTCTCTTCCCTCAATCTCTCGATGTATGAGTAGAAATCCACTGACACTACCCTTAACTGTTAAAGACCTTATTCCCTAAACAAAACCGCTCCGACCGACCAACACGGCTTTGGACGATGTACGTGATCGCATCTGCTACAACAGTTGGCCATTCCGGTGACGGCATCCTGCTAGAGTCGCGTCGAGGTGCTGTGTGCCAGTGTTTCGTGACCGTGTGGCGCTCTCTCTCAGCATCAGATGTCACCTGCACCGCGAATTCTAGCTTCGGCTAAGCGATGGTCATTCAAGAAAAAGGTGATGAATTTTTCACATAGTTTTAATCTCGGATTTATTTTTATAATGCTACTTTTCCCGTAGTTGAAGTCATTTTCTGCTTTTTTAGTCTTTAGCTGAAGCTATGATTGTCCGTATAAAACTTTTGAGGACGCGTTCTTTTCTAACAAGTACATATTTTGAAGAACATGTATGAGATTTAAAAAGCGGTAGATCTTTGCCTCATGAGAATTTCTGTTCTGAACCCGATAGGAGTAAGGGACGATTAGCTGGCAGTGAAATACCAAAGTTTTCCTCATTTCTGCTCTGTGTCAAAACTGGGTAATTAAGAAATCATTGACCAGCTATCAGAAATAAGTATTGTCCCATGTGTCTTAATTATAGGTTTACTGAGTTGTCAGAGTTTTGTTCATGCTGCCCTTTAGTTGCAGTTTTGAAGCAGTTTAAAATAAATTGACTTACTACTGTTTTTACTACTTTCCTACTTACTATTACTGCTTGTCTGACTTAGTATGAGCATTGCAGTTTATCGTGTACGGTGTGTCAACTGTCCTTGTTGGAAGCGGAGTTGCTAAATGCTGTTTTATCGACTCATTCGAAGACATGAAACAACTCGGACTCTTGCGGTTCGGCAGGGCTGCTGTTGCAGTACGTTTTCTTAGTCCTGTCGGATTACGCAGATGACTTTTCTTCTTTTCTATTTATGACACTGGAGCCTTCTGTTGCGTGTTGATATCATCTAGTGTGACTCTTCAATTCCTAGGTGACGCAGATCGTTGTGGATTATAAGTTATCGCTTCTCGGACTCCGTGATTCATCCGAGGAGTACAATAAAGCAATTAAAGAGTGCCATAAGAGGAGCGCATTACGTCTTCTCGAGTTGGCTTGCGCTAATGGTGGTGTATTTATTAAGGTGTATCGACTTTTTACGACGCTAATATTTTGCTTATTGTTTTTTCTCCATACACTAAAAGAATAAAACTCTCGGCGTTGATCAATCCCTGAGGAATGCGCCATGCATTCGACTTCATTAAGCGTCGTTTGAAGGTGACTAATTGCATATCTGGCCTTTACAATGACTCGCGGTGGCCTACCGATGTATCGAGCCAGTGCTGCTATCCTCCCTGATAAACCTAGTACCAATTTGTCGGCCCGAAGGGATGGAAGGCTTGGTGGGCCAGGGATCGATCCTATATGTGTTGTAGGGCGCCTTCAACCACTACGCCACACGCGCCCATCTCTCCACTAGTGTTATGTGTATAGTATAGTTGTTGTTCGTCTGTAATAAGTTCTTGGTAGGTGTGGTCATAGTTTAGGTAGGCCAACATTTGTCTGCTATGGAATTCCTAATCCCCACCGAATATACAACAACTCTGTCCATATTGACTTCGAAAGCTCCTGAGGCATCGTATGAAGATGTTGTATACGTTGTGGAGTCTCAGTTAGGAAGGAAGGTATATTCTATCATTCCTAGTAACAAGTTATACGCCCAAGCAAGTCTGTTTTCTTTAAGTCTTTTCTTAAGTTTTGTTTGTTCTCTTTAAGTTTTTCGGCTTGTTTTGAAAAAACTGATTTACGATTGTAATTCACCCATCTAGGACTTCAGATTTCTGATGTGTTCTCGGAATTTGCTGTCAAGCCTGTTGGGGCTGCTAGCCTAGCCCAGGTGCACATTGCTAAACTAAAGGTGGTTGTATTCATGATTAAAGTAGGTTTTCGTTATTAATTTTATAGATGTTTCAGGGTATTGATCAAATGGTCGCTGTGAAAGTGCAACATCGTAGAGTGCTCAAGAATAGTCGTACCGATATTAATACTATGGATGTAAGTTTGAATCCTGTTAGCGTTCATTAAATTGGAAACTAAGAATAGTTGGTGGGACATGGATTACATTAGTTTTGAGCGCTGTGATTGAATCTAATGTGACATTGTCGTTTTTTTTGTTTAACGTGGAGATAGTCAGTTGAGTTGAGGGCGTGTGTAGAGCAGTGGTCGGAGGCACCCTACAGTACGCGTGGGATAGTTCCCTGCGCTCAAGGCTCAGAAAGCTTTCTATCTCTCCGGGGTCGGCAAATTCGTACCAGACTTGTCTAGGAGGATAGCAGCATGGGCTCGATAAATCGGTTGGCCACCGTGAGTCATTGTAAAGGTCAGATATGCATTTAATCACCTACAGCGATGCTTAATGAAGTCGAATGCATGGCACATCCCTCAGGGAATGATCAGCGCGTAGAGCTTAATTCTTTTATGCTTTTACTCAGTTGAAGTTTCTAATACCGTATATTCTTTTTTGCAAAATCCTTTAATTAATAATGTTTGTGACATTTGTCTGGATGTTAAGAAAATACAGTATTGACATTCCATTCCATTGGTTTGTGTTAAAGTTCTTTGCATGCCAGTTCGAATACACCCATATTTCCTTTTCATTACTTAAGAAATACTTTACAGTTCCTCGTTAAAATCGCCGACAAAGTGTTCCCGGAGTTCAAACTTATGTGGCTAGTTGAGGAAGTGAAGAAAAACTTGCCTCGAGAACTTGATTTTATCTTGGAAGGAAAGAATGCTGATCGATTGGCGGAGATGTTTGATCATCTTAAATTTCTTAAAGTACCTTTTGTTCTCTTTCTTTTTTATTCTATATTTTTTAACGGGATTCCTCAAACGGCGCAAATCGTTCTGTTTTTTTTGAAGGGTAGGATAATGTTAGAGACTGCTTAGCGTTATATGTAAAATTCACGGCACTACTGTCTTTTAGATTCCAAAAATCTACTACGAGTACAGCACACCTCGTTTACTTACGATGGAATTTTGTGAAGGTGCACATATCGACGATATAGATTACATGATAAGGAATCATATCAACAGACACGATGTGAGTCTTCCTAAAATTTGCTTCGTAACACTTCTCCTTTTTTGACAGTTAGTCTTCAATATCTTCGTGAGAACATTGATTTCTTTGTAAGGTTTATGCTTTTCATAAAACCGTGTTCAGTTGTGTTCTTTAAGGCCCTAAAGAGCATTAAAACATAGTGGATTAGAGTTTTTAGTGCTTGTGGACATTAGTTGTAATAATAACTGTAATGAGCAGAAAAAATTACCGATTTAAGTTTGTACATGGTCGTGCGCGCCTTATGGGAAGGAAAACTTTACACTTTTTAAGGTTTGTCGAAAGATGGGCAGACTTTATTCGGAGATGATTTTCATTAATGGTTATCTGCACTCAGATCCTCATCCCGGTAATGTGCTAGTGAATAAGAAGAGTAGTGGTGAAGTTGACATCGTGTTGCTGGACCACGGGCTTTACTTGGTTAGTGAAGTGTGTAGGCAGCTATGTATGTGTGTATTATGCGTATAAGCGCGACAGTGAAAACGCTTTCAATAAATGCTGGAATGTTCTAGTATAACTTTTCTTTAGAATATAGATGATCGCTTCAGAAGTCTTTACACCGATCTGTGGCTCGCCCTGCTAGGACCTGACCCAGATAAGCTCCGGGTCCGTTTATGGCAGAGATCACTTCACGTCCATAAATTTAAATTTAATTTGATCAATAAATTTAATTAACTGTGCTTTATATACTTTGGTTTTGGAGCTTTTTAACAACGACTTGTAGAGTGTCGCTATAGAAATGGGAGTTGGCGAGCTTTATGGATTGTTAGCGTGTATTGTTTCTCGAAGAACATGGCAGGCAGTATCTCAGGGTATCAAAAATAAAAAGATGGATAGTCATGAAGTGAGTAACATTTTTTGTTATTTGAGGTCAACACCGTGTGAATCTTTCTGTTTAGAGGAGCGAGCTTCGGCTTTATGCCGCATCACTGATCCCTCAGATCAGTGAATTATTGCACCGAATGCCACGAGAAATGCTGCTTATTTTAAAGACTAATGATTTGCTGAGGAATCTCGAGCACGTACTTGAGACGGAGAACCGCTCAGATTCTCTTATTGAGGTGGGTGGTGCTTTTTTAAAAAAGATATGATATGCACGCGGTCAAGTCTCTACGTCTGTGGACTTGCGGTACGTATAGGAACTTATAAAGAACCACATCTTGTTTTTGCTTTGTAAACTGCATGTATAAAGATTTCAAATTCATGCAATACTCGGATGAAGATATCTTCTTTCTCGCCATTTAAGATGTCGAAATGCGTATTGCGTAGTCATTATGAATCGAAGTTAAAAAACAGTCAAAACAGTATTTGGGAAGCTTTCGGCATACGGTTACAGCTATTGTGGGCACTGCTTAAGATCCATACATATGAGTGGTACCTTATCGCCAAGAACATGTTCTCTTCTAGTAATGTTCTATCCTGATTATTGCTAACACATGCTGGTTGTTTTGACATTGCTCTCCTTTCCTCCTATTCGGTTAAGATAGAAAATATGCATTTTTGCAACTTCATTGAATATCCTATAGATTCCTAGTTCTCTACCTGTGCCAACCACGAATTTTAGACATAAATGCATTTCGTCCCATTCCCCGCTTTATCCAATTTTGGTGTGATTGTTTGTTAGCATTGCACTAATCAGATGTTGCTGTCAAGTTGGTCAAATCATTATTCTAGGTTATAGTCGTTTTATTCATCAGAAATCTTTTCGTTTATCCCCAATACTCATGGGTTAGAACTAACGTAATTGTTACCGTTAACGTTTTCGATGAATGTGACCTAGGGAGTGCTCATAGTTAGCCTCTACATCCTGGACCGTGTTAATGGTAACGAGTAGTATTTCCTTATATTTTCCTTGGTATTAATGTTGACAATCTTGTTTATTTCACTGTTAATAATAGGGCTTTGTTGGCATAGAAGTATTGATATCTAGGTAACTATTTCAATAGTAGTAGCAGTAGCAGCCTAGTGTCGCTGCAGTCGACTTGAAATTTACTATTTGCTCGTGTTATACATATTCCTTGAATTGAAATAAAAGTTCTAAATGAGTTGTGTTCGTGTACTGTACGATTAGTAAAGTCAATTATCTTACAAGTTTGACGTCATAGCACCAGCTGAAGCATAGATCCGGTGTTATGTAAGGTGAAATTAGCCAATATACATCCTATCAATACTTATTCAATTTAATGCAGTGTCATCCCTTTGGCAACGTCAGTTCTGGTAGATCCTAGACTAGTGTTCGAATGACTCTTGCTCCAAAGCAGTGGTTTCAATCAATCGATGGAGAGTTTAATGAGATCGACGATGAGAATCTATTGCCGAAGCAGATCCAATATTATTCGTAATATTACGAGTCATGGAACTACTACTAGTACGTTTGTTTATGTTTTCTCTCGAAACTACTCAATTTTTAGCCGTATGGCCGCAGTTATAAGCATGTCAAACTGTCCTTTATGCATACTGCTGTAGGCTTGAAAATATGAGACAAGTGGTATTACTATAATTCTAACTCCTTTCAGTTGCAAATGTACCGGATCTTCGTGATAAATATGTACTGCCTTCAAATTTCGACTACAGAGTATGGTTCCCTATGCATATGTTTGTACAAATGGAGAAAATGGAGGGAAAACTACGCTCTGTAGATCTTATTGTTGAGGTAATCTCGTATTTGAATTGCTACTTTTTCTATGAACCTCTCTTCTGATCAGGAATTTTATAATTTTATGTCTTCCTCTCCTTCCATTGACTTTCTCCTATTGGTATGGTTTAGGTTCATGATGCAAGGATCCCAGTCAGCGGCAGAAATCCCAAGTTTTTCAAGCAGTTCTGCTCAGTGCGACCACATATATTGGTCATGAATAAAATGGACCTTATTAATATGAAGAAATACAAGTATATCTTCTACTTGAAATTCATCTTAATTTTATGAGGTTTCGTTCTGTAAATCTCCTGCCTCATTTTCTATTCGTTTTATGGAAACGTGAGAATACAGATGAGCAGCACCATTGACGTTTCGCGCTAAATTTTTGAGAGCATTGTCCCTTAATAGGGCGCGTGTGACGCAGTGGTAGGAGGAGCCACTGCGACACACATGTGAAATCGATCCCAGCGCCCATGGCTCACCAAGCCTTCCATCCCTCCGGGGTCGGCAAATTGGTACCAGACTTGTATAGGAGGATAGCAGCACTGGCATGAAGTTAAATGCATGGCGCATCCCTCAGGTTGATCAACACTGAGAGGTTTATACTCTTTTTTTATTCTTCTTATTGTCCCTTAATGGATTACTGGTTTTTGTTGAAGAGGATGGACTGTTTGTACCATTTAGGAAATTGTTAATTACTTAGTATTTTGCATTTTCTGGATAGAAATACCTAGAGTACAACAAAAATCACCAAGAAATCACATTACATTATGCTTTCGTATTAATGTCTTCCGTGAAACCATCGATATTTGACGTTGAGTTCAGACAGCCGATTGAGGACTACTATCGCCATGAAGAGGGCATCACAGACATTATTTGGACAGATTGTAAGAGGCGCATAGGTCGGGCATTATCAAACGTTCAACAGGCTGTTCTTGACGTTCTCGTTCGAAATCCGCGTTTCAATCGTTTTGTGAAGACCGAGTATCAAGTGAGTTTGTTATGCGCCTCAATTTGCAAATTTCCACCCTAAGCATGGTGTCTATGACAGTTTGTTTTCGTGAGGAAATATCAGTTGTTTCCAGTTTGTAGCGTTTACATCGTACGAATTTTCTCATCTTAAGTGACCCAAAAATATTCACGCTTATAGGTTATGGTTGTTGGAATACCTAACGTTGGAAAATCTTCACTGATTAATTCATTACGCTCCCATAATCTTGGGAACAAAAAAAGTGCTGTTGCGGAAGGCAAGTTTCTCTCCCCGTACAACTTTCACTTCCTAGGCTTCTCTTAGCTTTTATGCAGGTAAATACTGCAGGTGAGCGTTTGTGGCTGAAGTTTGTAACCATTCTGATAGTTAACACTTTTGACATATTTCCGTCTTTATGTTCTCATAACAACCGTGTTATGAAGCCAACTTTTGAAATTGCGAAAATCCGAGCGCTCAAGTCGTAAAGTCCATCGAATTCAGAATACCTCTAAAATGTGTCCGAAACTTAAGGTTTGAAGTCAAAAACTCTCTCATTCCTGTTCAAAATATAATGCGATCTATAATTGGAGTAACCTACAGGCGCTCGGCCTGGTGTTACTGTTCGCGTCCAGAATCGGGTGCGCGTTTTGGATAAGCCACCGATCTATGTGCTTGACACGCCCGGCATTTTTTCTCCAGCAACTAGAAATATTGACGAAGTATGACTTGACAGATTCCTTTTCTTAGTCCATTGAGTTTAATTAGTGTGTTGTTTAGGTAATGAAGCTTTCACTATGTAATCTTATACTTGAAAGCGCTACTGAACCTCGATATGTTGCCGACTATCTTCTTTATTGGTTGAATCGGTATGCTTTTATTCCTAAACAATCAACTCTAAACTAGTTCCTAAATAAAGTCTGATAATAGCGTGTCTAAGTTTCCTCCGTGGTTATTCCTAGTTGATTACGTCTCCAACAAGATTACAAAAGTGTTTTTGCTAACAGCTCCTTAGACTACCGCCAATTCAGAACTGGCGATTACTCGTATGTCAAGTATCTTAATATTCCTGGTGAACCAACTGATGATATCAACAAACTGCTAATCAGAATATGTTATGCTAAGGTAGATGATTTTTTCTCGATTTGTTTTTACTTTACGGTCTAGAGTCTTGAAAATATTAGCACTTTTTTTGTAAGGCAAAACTTACCTTAGGGATGATATAAACACATGCAGTTAAATTTGAATATGCACAGTTATAGGGTACCTGTTTCGAAAAATTTCTACCATCTAGACGTTTTCTGACTTCGATCAACACATTACTCCGTTCCTCACATATCTTTCGTGTCTCTGTTACTTCCACTTACTCGTTATATTGTGTTGTATATGCTCCAGTGTTCTTTGGCACCTCGTGTATATCACCTGTATCACTTGTCGTCCTGTTGATCGTCGAGTGACTCGAGTGGACGCCAGTAAATTTTCCTTCTTTCCTTGCCGCCTGCGAGAGTAGCCCAGTGGTTTTTACGCGCCCAAGAGACTCGTTGAAACATCGTATCTTTCTTCTAGGATCTTCATGAAGAATTCTGACTATTGGGTAGATGGCCTTCCTTCAGTACATTGACATCCCGAGGAATCCAGTCACTAACGGCTCTTGTCCTTCGGTTGTCATTCATACGCATTACGTGTCCGACCCACCTTATCTTCGACTGTCTGGCGTACAGAACAGCGTCTTTGATTTTTGATCGTTGATGTGGGTCAAAGCTTGGAATTCCATCCTTACTTCTTTTCAATTACGCGTTGAATAACGTTGAATGATATTTCATTTTGGTTATGTAGCGACCACGTTTCTGACGCAAAACTTAAAACAGGAAGAGTCATAGAGTCGAAAATGTGGGCATGTATTCCAGCGTTCTTTGTTCTGTTCATCACATCCTCGGTGCTCTTGAAAGCTCCTCAAGCCGCTCGCTTCTTCGTGCTCAAGTATGGAACTCATTCATCATGTTTTCTCGACCATGATGGACACAGCTGAAATAATCGGAGGTATTTGTTCTGTTGAGCGTGAATGTGGCATAACAAATCAATCGGTTCCTCATGAACATCGTTTTTGTGGGATTTAGTCTAAGACCGATCTTTCCACAGACTTTATCAAGGTCGGCAAGCGCTTGTTCCACTTGTCTAATGTTTGGTGTTATAAGGACGATGTTATCAGCAAAGCGAAGGTGGTGTAACTGCCGGCCATCGATTTTCACTCCCATATTATCCCATTCCAATGTTCACATGACGTCCTGGAGGGTGGCGATAAGTAATTTTGGCGAGAAGGTATCTCTTTCCCTAACTGTTCTTTTGGCGTCAATGTTAATATCGCTATAGAATGGTGATATCTTGGTTGTGAAATTTTTGAACAGCTCACGAAGAATCTTTATATATTGAGTAGGGACACCTTGACTATTAAGGGCTTCCATGACTGCTTCTATCTCATCTGAGTCAAAGTCTGCCGATTTGGGCGCCCCAGATCAGTCCCGCTGACGGGTGATTGCTGTGGCAAAGATCCATAGAAATAGCTGAGAGACAGGCGAAACGAAGGAACCGCATGGTGTGGTGGTGAACGCGTTACTCCGGAAAGGACAATAGCGCGTTCGTTCGCCACCATAGACACCTGCGGTCCAGAGTTTTGCAAATATCTCAGCAACGTTGTGGTTGTATTTCGCTTAGTACCCTGCCGCGAAATTATAGTGGGTAGAAAATAAAAAGGCATAACATTGTGAGTCAAAGTCCTTTAAATCGACAAAAGTGAGACAGAGCGGTATTTTGTACTCTCGCGATACTTCATTGAGTCTTCTTATCGTGTGGATGTGGTTCATCGTACTAAATCCTTTTCGAAACCCTGCTTATTCACATGGATGTCCTTAGGCCAATGTCCTGTCAATCCTGTTTGGGATGACTCAAGTGGTAAGTTCGTAGACGATAAGCAGCAATCAGATTGCGCGATACTTGCAGATGTCGTGTAGGTCATCCCTCTTAAACGATAACACGTTCTTGCTGATCTTCCACTGAATAGGGACCTTGCATTCAGACAGGTAACGTGTGAAGAGCCGAGTCAGTGTGTTTACGAGGACTGGTGGAAGGTTCGTCAGGTGTTCTGGTCTTATCCTGTCCGGACTTGGTGGTGTTCGATTTTTCATCGACCAAATGGCATGTCGGATTTCGGAAGGGAGAACAGGTGGTACGACATGTCCATCCTCCTTTATTTCATATCAGAGCAGGAGGTCGTGGCTATTGAAGAGATTCGAGTAGTAATCGTGAATAATTCCCTCCTTTGCTTTCTAGAAGCTGTAACTGTTCCGTCTGGGCGTCGGCCTGCAATCATCTTGGTTTTATAATTGATGAAGCTTTGATGGACATTGCAAATGCTTTTTCCGGCCTCTGTCGCTTCGACCAGAACTGCTGCTTTTATACTGCGATTTAGCATAAATGATCTTGGTTGTCATGATAAATTCGTACTGCCGCTCACCTCGTTCCGCCGTAATCCTTGGGTCCCAATATGGACTTCTTTAAACGTTCGTGTGGGTCCAATCTTACCGTTTAGCTCTCCGATGATGGCCTTAAAGAATGTATGGTCTTCTCTGTAGAACTTCTGGGCCTTGTCTCTGTTAGCTTGATGTTAGTGCGCAGACACGAAAGAGCCGATAACGAGTTACACCACTTCAATCGTAAAAGTCCGACTCAGGTTGAAAGTTGTTCGAGTGAATCGATGTTCATGGCCAAACTCGTGTTGATTAGAACGCCGTCGTCGCCGAATCCTCCACTGTCGCGTCTCGCGAGAAACGGTTTTCTCTATGTCATCGACGGCGTTGAATAGAGGGCGCCTTCCCGTCTTAGCCAGTCCAATGACGTCGTACGTTCTTGTTCTTACCTGCATTACCAAACCTTCTATCGACGACTAAGATGCAGGTGACCGTACATTGTAGATACAGGTTGTCATCTTAATCTTTGTAGGCTTAGGCAGCCTTAAATGGCCTTGAGGTTTTAACAACCTGTTCCTACTCGTCCTACCCAAAGCTGCCATATCAGAGCTGTTTAGAGGTCAGAATGGTGAGGCGAATTATTTTACTTTGTTTAATATTTGAAACCTACATATAACTTTCTGAGCTGTGAACGTAGAGTATCACGGGTAACTTGCCAGGTTGTCCCAAAGTGGACATGGGGCTTATTTGTTGGAGGCGACTTCGAACCACCTCCCATATACTCCCCTGTCACATGATCGCAGGTTTTTGGCCGAATCGACTTGTAGAATACAATCCGCATAAGCGAAAACGCCCCCACACACACTTGCATGAATACGCCTAGCAAATACAGAAAATATGTTCCAAATCGCCGCAGCAGGAACAGGTAGTCCATCCCCTGGATCCACATGCATCTCAGGGAAGCAAAGGTCGCTTTCGGTCTGCGATTAGCCCCCTGTCAGCCACCTGGGGACGCGTCACATTGTCTGTGGAGTAACCGGCAAAAGGTCTCTCTATGAGGAAAATACGTGGACCTCGTGTATAATGAAAAAAAATCGTCCATTATCAAAATACGTTGTTTTTAGCTTTCCTCGTGGTTTGTACGATATTTGGAGCATAGTTTTGTGTCTTCTTCATCTTTTTTATACCCACCGATTCCATTCCACTGTTCGAAAACGGCTTTTCGCTACTGTTTCGCTACTTTCACACCGAGAATGCCTACACATGGTCTGGTCCCAGTGTAAATCTGTGTTGTACAAGCTATCGATTGAGTCAAATAACTGACAAAGGAGTTCTGTGCGGCGATTTTTTTTCCTGCATGGTCTTTCTTTACATCTGTTTTATGGATCCAATCGCTTTTTCTTTCACTCCATTCGTTTTTCGCATTCATCGTCCACGAACGTGTTCGAATTCTGTGCATACGGATTCGGCTGCTGCTTCAGGATTCTGTTGTTCTTTATGAAGATTGTTGAATGTTGATCGACTCGATCCTCCATGGAACCCAACTTGTTTTATGTGCTTAAAATTTTCATCACATGTTGAACTGTAGTTCTAAAATAAGGCGTTGCAGGATTGGCGAACACGTTGCTTAGTTGGGACAACCTACGAAGAACGCTGGGATTTCGATCGTGCGGTAGCGACGTTTATAAATTTGTTTCGCAATGCAGTCATTAAAGATTGCTGTTTGGACAAAGACATACTTCGGCCTTATTTATAATTAGTCATTACTTATGTAAGAATTTACGAAATAGAAATAATAGCGTCTTCATTTGGGTGTTAAACCTTTAATTACCCATGATTCACAAGATAGCCTTTTGCCAAAAGAGCTTTTAATATATTCTCTCTCTCGATACATAGCCTCATCCATTCATTTAGTCGATTTTTGGATCTTGTAGGATCCGTCAGGAATGCCTTCGTAGACTGTCAATGTCGAAGAAACTGTTCATGAACGAGTTGTTCAAATCGAATCTGGTCTTCATCCATCCATAGAAGGCTTGTATAGCAGATTGCACGCCAGTCACAAGAAAACGGCCGGTCATTCACCACGGAGTAAGCCACTGTGAGAGCCAGACTGCAGTCTATAGGATTGCACATTGTTTGTACAACCAAAAGTTTAGACGTTTTTTCTTCATCATGATCGCTATTTAGGAACGCCTTTACTGTTTTGTAAGTGCTCTTATCCAGCCGTAGAGCGTCGCACAGCGCGTGGAACTTGTTGTTGCGTCTGTTCCTTTCTTCAATAATACCACAAAGTATGGCAAGAATCAATTGTTCTTGAGTCATATTAAACTCGCTCCCAAAATGAACGTTTCTTTCTTTCTCGAATCGGTCAACGACATCTTTCATAACACGAAGATCAAAACATGGTTTGTTTTGATGTTTCTGTAGACAATCCTTGTCAATAACCACTTCTAAATCAGTGAGGTTTTTTGCGTCCACACAGGTGAACCAATGTAGCAACTGTTCACATCTTGTAATTACGGAGGTGATGAGGTGTCCGTAATTACAAGAAGATGTGAACAGTTGCTACATTGGTTCACCTGTGTGGACGCAAAAAACCTCACTGATTTAGAAGTGGTTATTGACAAGGATTGTCTACAGAAACATCAAAACAAACCATGTTTTGATCTTCGTGTTATGAAAGATGTCGTTGACCGATTCGAGAAAGAAAGAAACGTTCATTTTGGGAGCGAGTTTAATATGACTCAAGAACAATTGATTCTTGCCATACTTTGTGGTATTATTGAAGAAAGGAACAGACGCAACAACAAGTTCCACGCGCTGTGCGACGCTCTACGGCTGGATAAGAGCACTTACTACACAGTAAAAGGGTTCCTAAATAACGATCATGATGAAGAAAAAACGGCTAGACATTTGGTTGTACAAACAATGTGCAATCCTATCGACTGCTGTCTGGCTGTCACAATGGCTTACTCTGAAGTGAATGGCTAGCCGTTTCCTTGTGACTGGCGTGCAGTCCGCTCTACAAGCCTTCTATGGATGGATGAAGACCAAAATAGCCTTTATTTCGTTTTCCCTTTAGCAGTAAGTTTTGGCAACTTCAAAAGTAATCGTCTGTATTTTTCGTAGGGAACCCTTTTTTTTCAAAGTGCAAGTTACTGTTCCGCTAGTATTCTTCTAACGGATGCTTCCGATACAAACTGAATTTTGAAGGTTATACCAAAGTAAGTCGCAACTACCACACCAATATGTCGTGCACTAGGTAATCCGGGAATAATTCCTACTTAAAGATTGATGTATTGTATTTTAGAATCCTGATGCCTTTCTAAGTGAGGACTTTGTTGTTCTATGTTGTGACTTTATGTTCATATTATAAATCGTTTTAGATTTTGCTATGTATCTCTTATTGCCTCACTGACCGATTACCAGACCTAGCCGGGCCCACAGCAAACGTATGGAGAACATTCTCCGCAAAATAACGAATGATGTGAACAGATATTTTTGGTACAGGCTATTGTATCGCTTTCATATGAACTTCCTGTACGATCAGGTTTCATATTCTTCAGAGAAACTTCCTGTGTAAGTAGCTCAACAAGAATGAACTAAATGGGAAACTTCTTAGAATTTGCCTCTGGGCTTTAACTCTATTCTCCTCTATCAAGACTCCGCGTATTACAAAAAGTATGTAGCTACTAGCACCACTAGTCATTTCGGTAGTTAGTCGGCTCAACTAATGCTCTCACAATCTCCATCTTTGTATTGGCGTTCGTATTCAGCTTTCTGGATATCGTCACATCGTTGATATTGCATTGATAAACATAAAACTCCTCTCTTCCTACTTAGCTCTGGAGCTGTGTAGTTCAACATTGTGACTTTCCGACACATAAATATAGGTTTAGAATGTCAACTTTTTATTTGCTGCCTATTACAAATTTTAAGGCAGGGAACTATGTGGAACATAACCACAATAATGCTGAGATATTTGCAAAATTCCTGACCACAGGTTTCTGCGGTGGGCATCGAACATTACTAGAAACCTTTCCTGGAAGAGCGAAACGAAGGACTCGCATGGTGTAGCATCATTGTAGATATTCTCATTGGTTTAGAATTCGCAAACGTTCAGCGTAAATAGAGCATCAGAAATAAATCCATTTTTCAAAAACGTCTTCTTGGATTTTAGTCAAAACTAGTCTTTCCATAAGCGTTCTATTACCTTTTCTATCTCGACTGAATCGAAAACAGTATTTAAATCGATGAAAGTGAGACGGAGCGATCTCTTGGACTCCCGCGATATTTCGATGTGCCTTGTTACCGTGTGGATGTGATTCATAGTACTGAATCCTTTTCGAATCCCTTCTTGCTCACATGGTTGTCCTTTCTAGTCCTTTGTCTTATTTTTGAGGTTGACTTGAGCAAAAAGTTTATAGGCGATAGGCAGTAGAATGATTGGGCGATCGTTGATAATATCGTGTTCAAACTTCTTTTTTGCAACAGCACAGTCGTCATGGTTTTCCATTGACTAAGAAAGCCCTTATCGCTAACAATCAAAAACGATTTTAATTCCATTTTCTTCCGACTACTCATCGAAAACTATCAAGGAGCCAAAAATGATGAGAATAACCAGAAATCTTTTCTGCTCATGTCGAACAATCCGAGCAAAGTGAATCAGATAGTGAAGATGAAGGTGATGATGGTGGTAAGGTCAGTCGTCAGTGGCCACTGTTCTCCCTCATTAGCTCTGAATCACCAGTGAATGTGTAATCCATATGTATTGGATCAATTCCCTCTGGTTGAATTTAGCATCGATTCTATGACAAAAATGAAAACAGAAGAATCGGCAGCCTTTGAGGAGAAAAAATTTTCAGTCTTTGGCTTAAAGAATAAAGGATAAAGCTCTCGGCGTTGATCAATCCTCGAGCGATGCGCCACGTATTCGACTTGATTAAGTATCGTTTGAGGTGATCGAATGCATGCATATCTGACCTTTACAAAGACTCGCGGTGGTCTAGCGATGTATCGAACCAATGCTGCTATCGTCCCGGACAAGTCTGGTACCAATTTGCCGACCTCGGAGGGATGGAAGGCTTGGTGGGCCATGGGCACTGGGATCGTTTCCACGTATGTGTCGCAGGGCGCCTCTTACCACTGCGCCACAGACGCCATTTTACTCTTTGACTTAATATAGGAGATGTTATACCGCCATGGACAAAGTTAACTTGAGTCTCAGTACTGCTTATATGTGCCGTCCTTTTAAGTTTCAAATCATTTCAAGAAAAAACGAAGGACCCGGACGGTATTGTGGTGAAGTGCACAACTCCCCGGTAAGGACAATAGCGCGAGTTCGTTCCCCACCGCATACACCTGCGGTCAGGAGTTTTGCAAATATCTCAGCATTATATACGAGTTATATTTCGCAACATACCACGCCATTAAAAAGAAAAAGGCAGTAAATAAAAGGGCTAAGATTATTTCAAGAGAATTTAAAAGGCTATTAAGTCACACATATTTAGTCAATATTTCAAGCTATAACAAGCAAGACAAGTACAATACCGTACTACTCGTCGAACTTGTAAGCGAATTTCCTAAAGCAGTTTACCATGTCATAGAAATTGAGAAATTGAGTATTGATCTATTCCTCACACCACTTTAATGGAGTGTTGCATTGCGCCAGCAAATCCGATATAAGTGGCAAAGTATGTAGCAAAGTCCTTCGCATTAAACAAGAAAGGCAGCTGCACATATGGCTTCATGGTGCATGTCAGCAAAGATGTCTCCGACATGTGAACTATAACTGAATCAATAAACGAAATAACACCTCGCGTTTGCTCAACAAGAATACGAAGAATAACTGAACAGTAGTGATAAGTCTTAAGGATGGGAAAACTATGCGCATACCGATACTTCGATGTTAAATGATAAGATGTCGAATGTTATCAACCTCGTGTAAGCTCATCAAAGAAGGACTACATACGTGTATATCGATAATTTGTATAAGAACGTCTGCATCGTTTAAGTAAATGGTTACTTCAGCATGGTTCTTTTCTATTTACTCGAGCAGAAATGCTTGGTGAACGCATGGAAGATCTACTACGACAATGTTCGAAAAATCGAGATAAAAGCGTCCAGGTCCCAAATTATTTTCATTTCGAATCTATTACCTAGAGAGCCTACACCTCCGGCGTGCTCACGAAGGGACTTCAAAGCAATGGAGACGTTGTTTCAGTTGTTACCAGGAATTAGAATGATATCACACTCCATATCTTCAGCATACTAGGTAGGAGAATACTAGATGCAGCCAATGAAATAACTCTTGTTCGTACTGTTTCAATAAAATTGACCAGAAATGTGAACTCTAAATATCACCAATTGGTGGTCATCATCTCAAATATTATCTAAGAGAGAAAAATCAAAAGTAAACCTATTTGAGCACGACGAGTTGAGAACTTGAGAAATTTTAAATGCATAGTCTGGAAGATTGCTGTTCACGGTCAACGTCCTTTACCAAACCTACGATAGGTACAGGTATATCGATTAAACGCTAAAAGTACAACAAAGAACTATGCAGCAGTACAAACCATCCGATATAAATGAAAACAATTTCAGACAATGCAATCACCATCCATATGAGTTGAAGGCAACACATGTTGCTGCAAATGCGTTAGTTTTAGCCTGCCTTAAATCCAAAGAGGATTTGCTAAGCCATTTATTCAATGGCGAAGCGATTTCTCCATCTCTGTGTCTAGATAACTATTTTCTAGTTCTCCAAGTCAAATTGCTTATCCAAGAAGCACCCCACGTTCTAGAGGACAATGTACAAATCTAACTCGCCTATTGTTTTGCCTACATTTGTTGAAATATCGACCACCGAATAAAGTAACTCAATCAGGAGATGAGGCTCACGACTCTGAAGTGAAGCTGAGATCACAGACAGTTCATAGCGTTTTAGTATAAATTCATTTTGAAGGGCAAGTGTTGTAGAACACCTAAGAGCACACATACCTACTTAAACAGTTAAGAACAAAACATAATATTACATTTATTGTTCTGTTCAACAGTATCTGATATCCATAATTTCGACGGTTCATCATCAAGTATTTGTTTGAAGGAAAAAATCAATGTGATCAATAGCATGATATGATGCACTGAGCACTATGCGCAAAAAAATATGATATGAGAAAGAAGTATCCGTGATGGATGTCAATTTACACATTTTAAATAATATTACAGAACAAGATATTACAGGATATTACAGAACAAAAATATTATCGCCATTTATAAATGCGTTATTCAACAATTCATGTCGATTTGAGATACTGAAAGTGCGATATGATCGCTTTTTGAATGACAACTTATTTCTAAGTATAATAAACCGAACTTATTTTAGGCACTAAATGATGTCTATATGTCTACGACATAATATTACCATTAATAGAAACTTTTTGGATGATAAATGCTTTCTTAAATCGTAAACCAATCAACAATGTCCTTAACGGCCCGCACCATTCGTTGGGGCGATTATTGCATACCTGATCATTGCATCTCACTTCTCCCAAAAAGGCAAGACCTCAGGCAGTCGAAATTAAACTCTGTCACGACTATAGAGTACCATAGGGGTATATCCTCACTGCACGAACTCGGCAAGAGCACGAGCTGGCGCCATAGGACGCCGTTCGCTTGCTCGCCGGATCACACCGTGTTTCTTCTGCACTGGAACCAACGGCTGTTTCATTGGTGGCGCCATGCGCCATTGCACGTACGGTGCTTTCGAATTATGACGACGAAACTGAAAAGTAAACAAGGTTACCGGTCATAGATCTACGTATATCCAGAGGATTTATCCACTGCACAAAAAACACCTCAAACGTTGATGCGATGTAAAATAAAAGAGATCTACTTCTCTAGGTGGATCTCGTCGTAGTTACCTTTATGGGCTTTTTAAAACGTACTTTCATTACATTTCCTGATTAAATTATTTACAAAACGACCAAAATTTACGAGTTGGATAAAGAATTGGTTTCAAGGGTCTTTCGATTACCAAATCAAAAGAATAAGCGCATTACACTGTTTTATCGACATATATTCTGATTTATGGGAGATCAGACTCATCTCGGGTTAACAAGACTTCCAAAAAAAAATCAGTTCTACGCTAGGATTCCGCCTAGCTTCAAAGTTTACAACAATACACACCAAAACCATGCTATTAGGCATTCTATCACAATGTGGCCGACTGCCTTCATCTTACCAACTAGCGGATTCCAAATAAAAAAACCAGTAGGAAGAGAGATAGTCACAAAAATCAACATGCATTTAGCCAGACTTTAACGTTTTCTGACAAAAACACAAATGTACACTAGACACAACAGGACAATCAACATCAAACGGTATTACAACATATTCCTCCTTACCGTCATCATAATGGAAAAAAGGAGTGGCGCACACCGCCAAGACCTCTTCTATGCGAGCGCGTTCGCTTTGCGCACACTATATTTCAGTTCTGATCAGTGTTTCATGTATACAATAGTGCTCAATAAACACACAAAAGAAGGATTTTTGAATTGAAAAAGTTAAGGGTTAAATTAAAAAGCATCTCTTATGTGTGAAATCTGAAGAACTCTACAAAGATTGTGATTAACACTAAAATAATTCAATAAAGGTATAGCCTTTTCCTGCGCTATTTTAACCAATCTAACCGAATTAAACATAAACCATAGAAAATCTACTCACTTTAGTACTGGCTATATATGCTGCTTTGACAGTCAAAACTACAGCACCGAGTAAGTTTCTTGCTGTCTGAATCAAAGACATGGCTGATTCTAAACCAGACACTACGACATCATTTCCGATCTGTTGTACGTCGGCTTTTACCTACAATGAACCACATTAGGCGTTTCACTCATGGTTTCATCCATTAGGAACGAGCAAAAAAATTGCGAATAAACTAAAAAATTCATGCATCAGTAAAAAATATAGGTGATTAAAATACAGGCGAAACAAAGGACCCGCATGGTGTGGTGGTGAACGCGTTACTCCCCGGAAAGGACAATAGCGCGTTCGTTCCCCACCATAGACACCTGCGGTCCAGAGTTTTGCAAATATCTCAGCAACGTCGTGGTTGTATTTCGCTTAGTACCCTGCCGCGAAATTATAGTAGGCAGAAAATAAAAAGGTATAACATAGGTGATTAGTGTTCATATGAGGCACACCAACCTTGCTGCAGATGTTAAGTTGTTGACAGTATAATGTGATTCGTGATAGGTATGCGAACAAATCGGCTTTTGTATTCGAGTCAACACTTTCATCGCCGATTTGCTTAGCCAACGCATTTAGCTGAAGAAATACAGAAAATAAATCGACCGATTGCACCGACGAGTAATACAAATAATACTATAGTATATATATGTGCTCGTAGAAAATAATTAATATCCACCTTTGAACCATCCACAGATATTTCTTGGGCGGCGCGAATAACATCCATTGTTGTTTTCAATGGACCATGACCCCTAGAAGTCTTATAGGTGGTGCAGAAATTTGAAGATACTCAAAGCTGTTTTCCTCTTCCTTAGGATTCTCGGAAATATAATAAAAAACCTTTATGAAAAAAAAACACCCTTTTTTATACCTCGTAAAGTCGGTCATATCCGTCATGATCATGCACATATGCTTCGCAAGCACAATGATGTCATTCCCACTTTCATCCCACTTGGCGACTTCTCTTTCAAACTTCGTCTGCGTGATCTAAAAAAATTATCAATTGCACTTAGAATTCTTGGCAAAAAAAAATTGTATGAAAGTTTCGAAACGTATCCGACGTACTTTAAACACGTCAATCTGCTCCTGAATCTTTTTCTTCTCCTCTTCGGGCAAGCGTCTCATAATTCTTTGTTGGTTCTCGCCTTCTGATGCCTACAATAATGGAAAGAAAAACCTACTGCTGATAAGAATGCCTTTAAGCACTAAATATGTAATTATAGATATGAAAAACCACAAAAAAGGATAATCTTTTACATCACTGAGGTGGCCTAAGGCCGGTACAAATGTTCTATTTGGCTAATGTTTGGCGACTTCGCCACCTTGAGATAAAAATATATTAAGACACAAAAACTGCACAGGTGGAAAGGTGAAAGATGGGCTATGAATAAATAAAACTGGAAAAAGCACTAATTCCATACATACCCGACTGGCATTGTCGTAAACATTTGTTTGCCCATCATCTTCGTACTCATTGTCCGAATCAACGTCTTCCGGATGGCGATTAACTAGAAGCGCATTGCGTATTTCCTTCACCGCATCGTGAACTAACGTGCAGGCGTTGATGAATTCATCCGAGTCGCGATCCCTGTTATCATAATGGATCTTGAAGGTCATGATTGGGTTCTTTAATGTTGCCTGCACAATAGTCATACACGTATGAACTATCTTTACGTATATTATTATGCCTTCTAATACAAAGACAAAGAGTGTCTCAAAAATTTTGGGTTGAGAAACAGCAAAAGCCGAAAATCTTTCACATAATCGATGGAACAATAACCAAAACAGGCTGCTTTCTATTTCATTACCTTTCCTCCTGAGTCGAATTAGACCCACAAGCTTCTAGGCGAGTCACAACAGCTTCTGCGCGAAAGGCATATTGGCTAAGCACTAAAAATTTTTGCATTATTTGACAACTCGAAAACTTTCATATTCATATTTACTAGGAAATCATCTTCCACATCTTATCAGCATTAAAGGCAGGTCTAAATGAAAATTTACTGGGAATAAAAACCTTTTTCAACCAGTTTCAATAAATATGAAGCTCACTTTCATCTCGTAGCTTCCGTGTTGCCAATTTCACTCTTTCCGTATAAGTGCTTGGGAGCAATGCATCTATTTCAGCGTCTACTGCTGAACACACCTAAATTGGAAACGAGGAATAAGTGAACGTATGTTCTTCAATGGTGATCTTAGGAAAGAAATTGTAAAAATAAGCAAATAAACCACTAACACGCAGTGACCTCCCACGAATGGCACCTGATGCTCGATCAAGCATATCGCCGTCCCCTTCATGAATAGCCTCAAAAATAACGCAATAACAGAAAGTTTATTTAGTGCCAAGCTGCCACTAAAACACTACCCCCCCCCTTTCCTCCACCACAAAAGAAAAAGAAACGACAGGAAAGAAAGAAAATCCCTCACCTGCAAACCTGTCATAGCATCCTCAACAATGTGAGCCTCACTCACAGCGAGGAAATCATCTAGTGTCATAATAGAATCAATTGCCATGGTCAGTAAACGTGTCTGAAACACAAAAATTTCAATCTGAGCATGATCTTACATCCTTATGTTAATTAGATACTGAAAGACCGTTAGATTTTATGTTTTGGGTTGCAACAAATCAATATTAAATTGTATGTTGAACCTAACCTATTAAAATACACTAAAGGTTCAGGGAAAAATAAGAGACGCCTGGAAGATTTTTTAATTTTTGGAATCGCATTCACAAATCATGAGATCATATTCACAAGTAGTGGATATGAACTTCACTTCGAGGCGTATTTCACAGTGATCGTATATCAGAGTTTAGTTGATCAACTTCGATTATGAACACGTCCACCCGACGCCTAGGTGGTCGTCCTAGTGGAGACCTGTATCCTCGGGAAGTCCAATGCGCAGTTCTTTTCGCCCATCTATCGCCTGTGTTTCTTATCATATGATTAGCTCATCTATGCTTCGCTATCGAAGTGTGTTATCTCGAAGATGTGACAGATTTCGAAGACCTGAGCACCGCATTCTGGCTAAGTTTTTGTGTGACTGTTAAATTTCCGACGACAACGTTCAGGCACTCTGTAAGCAGTGTGCAGTGTTCTTGGTGTGGATGAAGTATTAGTCTACATCTGTGCTCAATAACAGAGCGCCGGGAGAGTTGTTGAACCGAGAAGGTGAGCACGGATTTTCGAGTCTATTGCTGGTCGTTGGTTTCTTTGAGCGACCAGAAGGCGGTCCAAGCTGCTTTCTTTCTTCTACCTAATTCATCATTAATGTTGTTCTCTATGATCATCGAACGTATAATGTACACGTGCAAAGTGGTCTCCGCACCCAGAGAGCCATCCAGTCTGATTTGACCGCCTTCCAACGACGGGATTTTCATGAACTGGGTCTTCTAACGATTTATTCGTAGTCTGATTCTTCTTCACGCTTCACTGATGCATTGATAATTGTCTTTAATTCGTTGGTACCTCCTGAAAAGAAGGTGATATCGTGGGTGAAAAAAAGATTTGATAGGAATTTTCCATCAATACATACGCATTTATCATTCTAATCGAATGAATTCGTTATGCACAGCAGTGTTGCACTAAACAGCTTTAGTGATATAGTACCGCCTTATCGAACACCTTTTCTGTAGATATGTTAAGAGATCGACAGAAAAGCTGTATAGTTGAGTTGCAGTTTCGGATAACAGATTGCTAGTGCTCGTATGTAGGACTCTCGATCTTTGTCGATGAGCGCTGATAAGAAGCATTCGTTTCAACATTATCAAACGATTTCTCGCAATCGATAAGGTTTGAGACAAGAGAAAGACAGTGCTCCCGACAAACTTTTATGACCCATGATATGGTTTATACGTGGCCCACGCAGCAGAATCCTTGTCGAAATCCTGCCTGCTCTAGTGGTTGCGCCTCATCCAATGTTCTTAATATGTGGGAAAGAATAATCTTCTTGAAGAGCTTGAAAAGCGTTTTCAACAAGCATATCGGAAGATAGTTACAAAGATCCATTCGGTAACATTTCTTAGGCATGACGACCGTGCGTGACGTCCACTGGTAGGCGATTTTTTCCTTTTGAAGGTAAGATCTCATATGGTTTGCGATACGCACGTGGAAATTGTGGGTTCCAGCTCTAAGGAAATCAGAGGTGATAACATCGGTCCTGTGCCTTTTTTTGCTGTAGCCTAACACGAAGGAATTCCAGGATGGTTTTATCCAAATGCAATTTTAGTGCCTGGGACAGGAATTACGGAACGGGAAAGACTGATGTAGAAGTTTTCCGTTATCAATTCCATGTTACTGCAGGAAGTTTAGTGATTCCATCTTCGTTCATGAGTAGCCCACGGTAGAACACTGTACTCGCACAATTCCCGACGCCTTTTCTTCGCAGTGGTTCATTTTCGTGCCGCTTGACTGTTTCTTTTGCCTCTACCGATGAAGATCTTGCACAGATTTTCTGCAACTGGCATTTATTACTAGCCGTGTTAAGCCTGCTGTAGTAGAACCTTGTTTCATTTTACTTTTCTTTTCGGGGAACTCCTTTATGGTAATGGAGATGCGATCCGATCTTGCTTGAGGAACTGAGGCGAATTCTGCACTTCTTAGCCCGACAAGCAGCTGGTAGTCTTCGGTTCGCTCTTTCCTAATCTGCCAGTCAAGCTTGGATAGGACTTCGTTCTGCATGTTCTCAACGTGTACAACTAGACTTTTTCCTCGTGGTCGATGAAGTGAATTCCTTTCCAGCTTAGGGCTGAACCGAACCTTCGCGTGAAGAGGGTGGTTGGAACCAGTACAGAATGACGAGATTACCGATTGCCAGAATGTGGTCGACCGCCGCATTAGTCGTGCCGTTAATAAACTCCCACATCCAAATGTGGTTTTCTTTCTCTCTGAAAGATGAATTTCCAGAGAAGACGTACTGCAGACAGGAGTCCTGAAAGACAGTTTCTATTTTCATTTTTCCCCTAATCGAAATTTTCGGATCTTGTCCTGTCCTAACCATAATGGTGCTAAGATATTTGCAAAACCCCGAGCCACATGTGTCTGTAGTAGGGATCGAAGACACTATTACCCCTTCCGATGGCTAACGCGTTCACTACAACACCATGAGGGACCTTCGTTTCACCTGCCTCTTGGCTAGTTTTCTACCTACCAGTGCCAGCAGCAATCACCTAGTGATGTTTCACATAATACCTTGCCATGAAAGGTTGTAGTAGTAAAAAGTCAACGCAGTGGCCTGTATTGTCTCTCGTTGGCCTTTCCTATTATGGCATTCAAATGTCCGATAACAAATTTATAACACATTTTATTACTGTGGATAACATCCTCAACTGATAGTAGAACGCATCTAATTCGTACTTATCAGCTGCCATTGATGATTATGATCCTCTCATGACGTCAGTTGAAGGAGGACCGCTATGCGAGGGGAAAGGATTTCGTACGAGCCGACGATGTGGACAATGAACAGGTTGATGATAAAGCCTATGCCACCTACATTTTGTGATGGGACGCTTTCTACGTGGATGATCGTTGTTTTATTGGCATATGTCGGTTTTGCTTTTCCTTTCTTGTTATGAGATGAAATTTGATGCGATATCTGTGACTCCATAAAGGGCGTAAAAATCGGCGTCTGAAGAGTGTTCTACCATCACAATATGCGCAGAGTAAGAAACAATCTCCACGACGTGTCACGTGTTTGTTCTTCAGATCCGGTTTCAGTGACACCTTGGACAACTAGAGATTTTGTGACCGCTCAACAATCGTCTCACCCCGTGAAGTCATAGAAGAAGGAATGCAGTATTCGAGGTAGTGAGGCTAACCTACTGTTAGCCCCGGAAATTCCTCTTCTCTGGAGTTTTTCCGTAACCTTGCAAGGGCGTTTTCAGGTCTTCACCACGGTGTGGATCCCAGGGAAGTATCTTCTCGGTAACGACTCCTTAATTCGGTCTACCTACGTTTTGATTCTGAGACAATATTAAAACGAAAATACGAATGAAAAAACGACTGATCGCTCAAGGTAAGCAGAAACTGAAGCCTGTAAAATCATTCGAAAAAAATACTTCAAATTTCTAAAAACTCAATGACCGTCGTGCCGCACCTGGTCATATGCGCATTCAAAGCAAAACAAATTAGTTTCGACGATATTACATATCTTAAAAACCGACTTTCACAACACTTCGATAATAACAACCAATAATTTGTGAACACGGCTTCGACATTAGGTCGGCATGAAACCTTTGCTAGGCTAACGTTTCCGCGCATTCGTCCTGACTGATGCAGGACGCACCGCCCGCTAAAACGTAGATCATACTGGATTGCGAAAATTGGCCAACATCTGTACTTTTATACAAAGGGCAACGCCGAGTGAAGTTCTCCATTCGAGCGGTGCTCACTCCATTGGATTCGACTCGATGCGACCAGCTGGACTATCGACTCGAATCAATACGGCTATGAGAAGGCGGAAGCGCCAAAACGTTAGCCGAATAAAAGTTTTGTACGAACCTCGTGTCAGCTCAACCATGTATAGAAATAAAAGTCTGTGACGACAGCATGGAGATCCTTCATGAGATATATAGAACATCAAAAAAAGTATAACACGGTTTGTAGAAAAAAACGTGCTTCTTTTACCACAAATGAGGTGGAGGTACTTTTTTAAGCAGACTTTGACAGCTTTCGCCGCTAGTTTCCATTTGTGCTGGTCCTAGACTAACGACAAAGTATGCATAGGATTATAAGTTTGTACCTCTATCGATGAATATTACTCCAGAAACTTCATTTTGCTAACAAGACTGTATTCACCAAAAGTATGGATGGAGCAAAGAGTACAGCTCTTCAAGGAGATTTACCTTGTAACACAGACGTAGAGAAAAGGAAGTGGACAAGTTCAGAGAACTAAGTGCATCATGAAAGATTTCTATGAAAGTGAATAATCTACTTCCGGTCCAACGACCATCGGAAACATCCACTCGGAAGTTAAGGACCCTCAAGAAAGTGTAAAAAGTATGAATATAAACCAAATACACAGTATTGACTCATTTAAGATCATGTCATACCCATATAGTATATTTAAATAATGGAACATTATTTTCGCTAAACTAAGTGTATGTCTACGGCTATAAACCAATATATATGTCGCAACAAAAACAAATACCAAATTGCTGACAACGAAGATATTTGGGTGGGTTTCTAGAAAAGTAACAATGAAGCGATCAAAACAAAATCCATAAAATCGCCAACTACAAGAAGCAGGTAATGATGCTCACGTCTTTTTCTTCCACGTTCGACTATCACCAAGTATTACAAAATCTTTACGAGTTACACGTAATTAAGTATATAATATTTAAAAAAGCAAGCACGAGAACAATTGCGATAGTTGTAACACTTGGAACAAACCTACCTTATCTTGCCAAATATCTCTAAACACTTCCATGTTTTCTTGCGCTGCTTTGCTATCACCATGAGCACACAACAGTTGAGCAGCATTCACTACCTATAAAAGCATTAGATAATGAACTGCTATTACTACCTTGTAGACTGCACATATTCTAAGGTTGAAAACATAACTGGGGTGCTAAGTTCCTCAGCTGATTTGCCGTGAACCGAATAATACGGACACCTTCGACGTCAGATGACATTTCACAGACTAAGTGAGCAACCTATAAATAAAATATTAAACCTGCATAAAATTCGAAACGGATCCTCATCCGCAGAACTTCTTCTTTACAAGCGCAATATTTCTAAAGAACAATATAGCAAAATTGAAAATATTCACATCAACTAGCTTATTGGCATGATCGAGGAAGAGTTGTCCTGCTTGTGTGGTTGCATCGGTGTCTCGTCGTTTGGCTGCATCAATTAGGATTAGCAAGGGAGTGCTCAAGTCCAAGAAAGCATCACTAACGTGGTCAACAACCGCACGCCGCAAATGCCTTAAAATAAAGTTTTCCTCTCCAATCAAGATAGTTTCAAAAGATATTCTGTAATGCGAGATATATAAAAGCAATCACAAAAACAGAACTATTATGCCAATGCATACCTCCGCAAATCTTTAGCTTTTCGTCCAACAAGAACCATTGCCAAGTCTACATCGTCGTTGTTGTCTCTAGCACACTATAAATCAAAGAATGATATAAGTAGTTACGTTACAAATACAGAAACAATGCCAAAAAAAAACTTGTGAAAGCTGTAGACTGAAAGAGCCGCTGTTCAAATGCGCAATAGAAAACTATAGGCATAAAATTTTAAATACACCATACACTTTTCTCGTATTCTCCAAGAAGATCTTGTAGAGCTTGACGGAGATTGTTGCATTCGTTAACTATCTTCTGCTTGCGATCTGACCGAGTATTACCTAAGTGGAACAAGTGCTCAGTTATTAAGTTGAAAAGTTAATGAAAATGTAACAATACGACTAAGTACATGAAATTTCCAGCTTAAAAAAAGTTCTTTAAGCACGATACGAATGTGGTTAATTGAATAATTGGCGTAATTAAAGGCGGAATTGGTTTGAATATTACAAACACAAAGACACTCTACCTGAGTCAGCAATAGCTGCTGAACCACTAACTATCCGTTCGAGGAGCTCCTCTAATTCAGGACGGTGAATATGTGATTTATAGGTACCGGGTTCTAGATAAACTCGGTTCTGTAACAATATCATTTTGTAGAAGGAAGAATCAAACTAAGGGTGATAATCATAACTCACTTGGAACTGATCGAGTTCACTAATCAGTTGTCCTAATCGACCCTGGGATGTAAACGACATGTCCACTTTTTCACCTAAATGGGAATATGTAAACAATGATTTGCTTGGAATTTAAACACACAATCAAAGCAACGTTGAAATATAACGGACTCAAAGAACCAAAAAAAATTAACAACTAGAATCATGATGTGCAATGGCAACCTCTCAAAATACGATCCATCGCATTCAGAGCCGCAAGTGCTTCACTATGAGCGTAATCACGATTCTGCTGAGATTCGTCGTCTTCCGGATGGCGTAGAAAGGCCTACAAAACAAGTTTTCAAGCTAATACTCTTCAACTTACGACAAAGTGAAAAAGAAACTCTATGAAGAAGAAAAAAACACGAAAACAACAACCTTGGCTGCAGCAAAGAAGAGAGGGCAAATTGACTTTACAAGTCCATTGCAAGCTAAGAGATCATCCCTTTGGTTTGGATCACGAAGATCCGCAATACGTCTTCTAAATAAACTCGAGCCATCAAGATATTTATTTTGCAACCACTATACATTAGTTCTGAGTTTAAAACAATGAACAACAATTCCGCTATCGTGTCTGGAACTCGTAGTACTTCCACTTTAACAAAAAAAGAAAAACTAGGAAACTCTGGATAGAATTTTGACACGGCATAGACTTATGATGCAAAGAATATTTAGATTCTTTCCACATTATAAGAGCAGCAAATAACTTTCACTAAGCTCATCGAAGAAAGAATACATATTGATTAGTGATCCCGAGGTTCAAGGAAAGTCGATTTCGAAATAGAAACTTTCACTGAGTTGCAAGGAATGTAGCGTAAGCAGTAACACTAATAACAATCAGACAACTAAAATTCCAAAAATAAACCATGAAAACACACCTCACAACTTCCTCTACTTCTTCAATCTCCGAAGTTAAAAGTTGATAACGATCAATTACTTCCTGGCTTGACGTAGCGGCACGAACACCATCAAAGAGTGTACGAATCTCAAACAAAACCATATTCGATAACTACTAATGGTAAAAACTATTCCTATCCATTATCTATTTAATTAATTAATCGATAACAAATCATTCTGTTATAACTGCAACGAGATTTAGGGTTGGAAATTCGAAACTTAGCATATTTGAATGAAATGTTGCGAACAAACTTCTGGACATAGAAATATCCAACCTTATCAATCTCCTCTATAATCAGATCCACATCAACGGAATCTGCGAGTATAAGAAAATGCGCCACAGCCTTAAAAATAGATAGGGTGGCCAATTGACATACGAACACTGCATAAAATTTATACTAATAGAAAACCTGAAACCAAGTAAATAACCTGCAGCAGTGTCTTTCCAGCATGAACTGCAGATGCTCTGCGTTGTGATGAAGAACTGTCCCGAACAAAATCACGTCCAGCATAGAACATAGACTGACCTATAAAAAAAAGGATACGTGAAAGAAAAAACGCATGGGTACGAATAAAACTTGATACACAGTGGTCAGTTTTTACACAATATTAGGAATTAAGACCGCCATCGTTATTAAGCAGTGCGGATTTAATGATACCAATTTAAAATTGGGTCCCTACACCACAAAAAAGTCAGAAATGAAGAGCGAATGAAGTGTAAGCAAGCTACACAACAATTAGCCAATTGTGATTCAACACAAAGAATGACGAAAAACTCATGACTTTAACCCAAACCAAAACCATTAGGCCTAACCTGTGTCCCTCACGTCCACAAGTGCATCAGTTAAAGTTTCCAATGCAGTTCCATGCGCCAATGGACAAGATCGGATGGCGGCGTCACCTTGATCCAGAAATTGTTGCACACTACGCTCAACGGCTACGACAAGACCTTCGGCTGTTTGCCCTGGTTGTAATGGGAACGTCTCCGTAATATCGGTAACCTAAAAGAACACAGCGAGTATTACCAACGTTTTTCTATTGCTCGTGTTGTCAGGAACAATCGTAACAGATCTGAAACAATATGGATTCGACTTGAATGCATAAATAACGAAAAATTACGCAAACTTTAAATATTATATTAACAAACATATCACTCATAAAGAACTTCATTGTGTTTTTATCTAGCAGTCCACATCCCATAAACTTTCGGATTTATTCTGTTTTGAAACTAATATCTGCAAGAGTGGAACAACTGAAGAAGTAATCTTTTGCTTAGAAGAATGATAACAGCACCGTATGTGTTTGCATTACACTTCTTTTTACCGCACTAATGGCCTTGTAAAACTTATTCATATAAAGGGATTGCCCTATTACGTTGCCCATTATTGGAAAACCGAAAAGTCGTTGAAGCTATGATCATTCAGCAAAAATCCTATTCAAAAGCCGGCAAATACACTCCCGAAGTAGAAGGACATCAACTTGTGGTGAACACGTGGCAGACTTTAGCACATCAGTATCTAGGAATTAAAGGAACTAAAACGAAAACGACACTTCGGAAAAATATAATAGAAAAAGCCAAACTAAGCATAGTGGTTACAGATGACGTACATAAATATCCACAACGTTGCTAGTTTAAACTCTAAAGCATTCCATCCTTAAGAGATCAGCAAATTGGTTTCAGACTTCCTGGGAGAATAGCAGCACTGCCTCGACACAGCGACAGAGCATCGCGAGTCAATGTATAGGCCAGATTTGCATTCAATCATCTCTTAAGGATACATAGTGAAGTCGAATGCATTGGGTCACACTAAGGATTGATGAATGCCGCCAGCTTTATTCCTTTGTAATATCCTGTTATTCCAAGGAAAATTACGCTCCGCCACCATTCAACAGTATTCATGAATACGACGCTAACCGAACCCATACGCAAATCGGAGACTCTACTTTGAAAACGGGTGTAAGACAATGAACCGGATATTCCGCACAATCTTCGAAATGGGGCTATATGAAGAGATCTCAGGAAGATTACACACCTCCCAAAAGCGATACAACAAAATCTCTTCAGTAAACTTCCTAAATGATCAAACGACCAAGCATACTATAGTAATTGAAAGGTAACAACGTGGTGAATGTGCATGAATGTACAACAAGTCACTGTAGAAAAAAAAGGATAAAGCTCTTGGCGCTAAACAATCCCTTAGGGAAGTGCTATGCATTCGGCTTCATTAAGCATTGTTAGTGTACTGAGTTAGAGCTGCTATCATCCCAGAGAGGTCTAGCTTCAGTTTGCTGAACATGGAGAGATGGAAGGTGTGGTAAACCTGGAGCGGAAGATCGAACCTATGTGTGTCGCAGGGCACCTTTAACCACTGCGTTACACGCGCTGCTAACTGATTTTATATATAACGAAACATCGAAAAAACACTCAAAAAAAATCTCGCATTTCCTATTGGATGAATGTTTATTGCACTGAAGCCCATAAAACACCGAGACGCAATGTGGTGTGTTGTATAAAAACCTAAGGACACAAAAAACTCACATCATTGATAAGTTGAAAAATTAGATTTTCGACAGTTTTAGTTTTTATTTGATTGAAATTGAAAGACGACTGGAGGGATGCTCGTACAACCATTAATGTAGTTGTCCGATCCTCAATAAAGGATTAGATACTGAACAACGACGTTGGTACCTGAACAACGACTTGTAAACTGAAATTTTAGCGATATGAAGATAACAATAACACGATAAGACGGAGGACGGGGATAAACCGTGCACGAAATCCAGAAACATCTGGCGAGAAACTCTGATAAACAAAACAGTATGCAGTCTTCAGATAGGGCGACGCCCATTTCGTGACGAATTTTTAGTACGCAAAAATGCGTCCGACGCAAACCAAAATTGTAGAGGAGATGTCTACGAGAACGGAAGGTGGGCACAGTCTTATGTTTCGTTGATACTTACCAAAAGGTCTTTGTGCGCAGATATTGTATTAAACAAGTTTATTTGAATGTAAGGGTGTGGATAGTACAGTGGTTAGTGGTGTCACGAATCAGAAGGCAAGAACGGTAATTCGATCCCCGACCCAATGGTCCCCTCTAATCCACGTGGGAATGTGCACAGTAGATGTGATGAAGGGTCGTCTAAAATTGTAATGAAAAAATTTCAATGTATTTATTTGAAAATTGCAAGAGTAAAGTCAGTGCTGTGGAACAGATCCAATGAGGCCGGTTACCCGAGAGCGTTTTAATAACGTCCTACGGATGCCGATAGGAGTTCCTGAGACTTGGGTGCTTTTAAGAGACAAGCTCATAGTCCTTACAATAACCCTGCCTTCCGTATCCACCTAGATATTATGTGAAAGCCCGTATGGTTGTGTTTGTTCGTGGCGTAGAGTGTCAGCTTTGGCATTCGCCGGGTCCAATAGCTACTATCAAACTATGACAAACTCAAGGGTAAAAAAGGATAAGGGTTTCTGGCCTATACAGTGACTCGCGTTAGTCTACTGATGGGTCAAGTTAGAACAGTTATCTTCCCAGACAAGTCTGCTAGCAATCTGCTGACCCCGGAGGGGCTTGGTAAGTCCGAAGGGGCGATCGAACCAAGGACTACGTTTCTGTTATAGGGCACATCTAACCACTGACAAAAACACGATGGAACGATTTTATGTGATAATGGAAAAGCTGTTTTAAGAAAATCGTACCTTTTACAAAGTCACCATCGACAATTTGAGCTTCAAGGTACGAACAGAATATTGTTTAAAACCGAACAGCACTTAATCTCGGCATAAATATTAATGTTGTGACATAATATAATAATAATAATAATAATGATAATAATAATAATAAAAGTTAATAACAGTAATAATTAATAATAATATTAATAATAATAACAATAATAATAAATAATAATGATAATTAATAATAATAATAACGATAATAATAATAAATAATAATAATAACAATAACAATAACAGTTGATTACTTGGACACTTGGATGGCCCGTCTTTTTTTTTGAGCTTTGTTTTTGCTTCTTGGACTGTGAAAGTGTTTGGGGACTGCGTGTCAGCATGATCTTTACTGGCTCCGAAGAAAGCAAAACAGCCGAAAAGCCAGTCAGTATTGAATCAAACTTGTTATTAACAAGCTCGTGTATGCTCACGAAGAAAAGACCAGGTATTTTCTTGAATTATTAAGCCAGCACGAGGTTGTTACACAAGCTTCGTTCGGCTATCGTTTTGTCGCCTTTACCGACTTGAGAGCCGCGATGATTCCAGTTGGTTGTAGAATCTCCTGAGACCACTCAAATGACATTTACTCATGTACCGAGGTCGTCCCGCAAATAGTATGCCTGCTGAACTTTACGCCGAAACCCATGGATTTGAATAAAATGAATGGAGTGGAAGGCCGTATGAGTAGACCGTGATGACCAACATCGTTCAAGCAATCTTAGATTCTCCAAACTCTCCTCTCGTTTCAGGAGAGAGTTCGTTAGCGAAAGGCATCGTAGCGAAGTAGATGAAGGATGAAGCTCTCGGAATTGATCAATTTCTGAGTAACGCGCCATGAGTTCGACTTCATTAAGCATTGTTGGAGGTGATTGAATGCATGCATATCTGACCTTCACAATGACTGGCGGTAGCCAACCGATGTATCGAGCCAGTGCTGCTATCCTCCCAGACAAGTCTGGTACCAATTTGCCCAGCCCGGAGTGATGGAACGCTTGGTGGGCCATGGGCTCGGAGATCGATTTCACGTGTGTTGCAGGACGCTTCGGACCACTGGCGCCACACGCGCCCTAATGAAGATGACATCACAAAAATTGCAAATTAGGCCTAACCGATACCATCGTCGTTTTAAATTTCTTGCAGCAATGGAATGTTTAGATGTGCGATGTGCTATGATAACCTAGGTAATCAAATTTTTATATTTAAATAATAACACAATGACGGAATTAATGCGATAGTACGAGATTAAGGAGCCACATGGAATATTAAACAGTGACATCCTTAATAGACTGATGAAGTAGTACGAAGAACCGAGATGTAGAAATGACCTGAGCAATGAGCAAGTGGAGGCATAAGAAGAGATGAGGAGACACTGTGTCTTAACTATAATGGCCGGATAGTGGGCGTTGTCGACTCGATTTCCTGCGGTATCATAAGTATAATAACATGTGGATCGGATTATTAAAAATCTCGCTTATTCACCACCAGGATAGAGACTGTGTTATCACCGGGTCTAGTCGACGGTTAGAGGTATACACGACACTACATAAATGTTCAATTCGCAGAATCTTAACACTTCGTTGTATGCTTAGCGTTTGAAGAAACACTTGCATGAACATAGTAAGCAACTAATATCAAGTGTAAAGCTGGAATCACATAGAGATAACGCGACTTTATTGTTTCAAGTGTTTTGATGGTGAATGTAACAATCCATGAAATGTTACACTCCCCTCGACTCGACTCAATGCTACTATGAATACCTACATATGGTGAAAAATTATAGGTGTGCATAAGGAACTCGAACCAATGCAGCCCCGTAAAGGGTGGTGGATACGGAACATTAGCTATATAAAAGTAGTTTAACGTGCTAGGGTACTCATACTTTCAATAAAACAAATTTTGAGCATAGTTTTAAGACATTATCTCGGCTTTTAGATAAAACAAGTATGTAATTAAAATATGAGTGGGTATTTAGTGGTATATGTTGACTCCTCCTCAAACATGGCTATAACTAAGCTACAAAGCTACCACAATATACAAAATATTTATTATACATAATACATAAAGGTTAACATAACGATCAAAAAACAAAGGTTAAGGCATCGAAAAACATTATTTAAAAATCACAGGCAGCACATAGATCAAGACAGATTTCGAATCAATCGAACGCATGTTTCACGAACTGCATCACAAGATTTGTAATCTAGTAGACGTGTACCATACCATAAAGAAACACCCAAAAGAGTATATAAGTAAACAAACCACCAACAAGTGAATGCGTGAAGGAAAGCGTTCGATCGAGGAAGTACGACTTCCATTCAAAGCCAGCTTTCGTTTCCCAGAACAGTGCCTAGACATGCAATTAAAGTGATTAAATATAAGAAAACACAGATTTATTTGGGCGCCCCAGATCAATCCCGCTGACGGGTGATTGCTGTGGCAAAGATCGATAGAAATAGCTGAGAGACAGGCGAAACGAAGGACCCGCATGGTGTGGTGGTGAACGCGTTACACCCCGGAAAGGATAATAGCGCGTTCGTTCCCCACCATAGACACCTGCGGTCCAGAGTTTTGCAAATATCTCACCAACGTTGTGGTTGTATTTCGCTTAGTACGCTGCCGCGAAATTATAATAGGCAGAAAATAAAAAGGTATAACACTGAGATTTATGTTCATAGCGGGAGCACGGATAGCGAAGTTCTGGTAATGCCATTTATCACTAGTACGTTGCTGGTTCGACTCTGCTTCGAGCTCATCAGGCCTCCCGTCTTTTTGGAGTCGTGAAATTGATCGTAGATTTGTCTGGCAACAGCCTATCCCCTTCTATTTAAGTGAGAACGGTCCAATTCGGGTTTCCCAGGATTATAGGGAGAATCCACTCGACCAGTATTCAACGCCATTCATAAAAAAGGTGAAAATCTTCGAGTAGCAGCCAAGCCGACATAGGAAAAGCTCGAAATTCTTCGTAGATGACGGATACGAGGGAACAAATAGAATAGAAGAAGTGTGAAATCCACACAGCAGATATGAAGACGGCTGGTGTGAAATAAAATTTTGAAAAAAAACATAATGCGAAAATTTACGATTTACGGCCTCATCAAGGTTTTTATATGTCGAAATGAGATGTTAGATTCATTCCACCACCATCAGGGTCACTAACACCGATGAGCTCAACAATGCTAACCAGAAATCTGGTAACACTTCACCCTGCACAACACAGAGTACGAGCTATCTGGAGGGCGTCATACACTAAGTGGCACCACTCGAGTCATCCGAACAACCACAGTTTAATAAACGGTGCTGATGCGCGGTTGGATGAATTTATACCTTGCTGATTTCCACTACAGTAACTCGATGATTAACGGAATTATTGGAGGAACAGACATATACTGTAAACAGATACAATGACATTTGCGCATGAGAGAATATATCTCTATGCTGCATTTATCCAACACTGGTCAAATTCTCACCTGAATTGCCACAGTGACGAAGTAAAATATGAAACCAGGAATACCCGTTAATCCTAGGATACCTGAAAAGGACAAAGGTTTGGTAAAAAGCATATTAACAACAAACAGATATGGATTTCCAAATCTGCCACACAGAAGAAAATATGGCAAAACTAACCAGCTGCCATACCGGAAGCTGCTGATTGACATGTTCTACTATATTCAAGACAGCTTAAGTTGTTTCGTATAGCAGACTCGCTGGAAATTTCCATAATTACGAAGATCACGTAAGACATCTAGGCTACTACATCAAAGAAATGAAAACTATTATCAGAAAAACCAATCAACCTTATTAAGTAAGGACACGTTGTTCGAGAAAATGTCTCTATATCAGAAAACTGAAGCCAGTGAAAACTAGCGTAGAGGTAAACTAAGAGATGAAACTGTTTGACATATTCGCTACGAAACATCCTTCTTACAACAGATCATGATTTTTTTTCGCGCAGTTGAAACCACACAGAGCTATAGAAGAGACTTTTGCCGTCTTGGAAATATGTATGTATGTTTATATGTGTGCATGCATGTATATATATATATATACATATATATATAATTCTTGTTAGATAATATACATATATATACATATGTATATACACACATTCATATATGTGATCTAACAAAAATACTTAACTCATGCTTAGACTTCCCAAAATGCTGGAAATGAAATCTGAATTACTGAGAAGCGGCAGGTGAACGTACCAGCCGTAAACAACAATAATATAATGAGCAACAATGTTATTCCCTGCTAAACAAATTTTTGCTTGTTCAACTGCTCATCTTTTCGAATTTTCATCTTGGCAGAACAATACAACTTGTATTTTATAGCAGAAAATCTGTGTTTTCCAATGGTCTCTATTCGAACTAGTAAGGAGCATCATAAGGTGCGATATGTTGGTATGACACATGATTATTCCGCATGGTGTGATGGTTAACGCGTTACTCCCCGGAAAGGACAATAGCACGTTCCTTCCCCACAGCAGACACCTGCGGTCCGGAGTTTTGAAAATATTGCAGCATCATTGAAGTTATATAAATAACCGTTACTTTATATTAAACGCCGTAATGAATCATGGCTAATTTATGTAACGATCGGGCATAAAACCCAAACAGAGACGGTACAAGTTGCAAAACACTTCCAAATGTTTAAAGAAATGTTTGTATGATATACCGTTCAGTAAATAATAGCATACCTCCAAACGTTTTACTCTCTCATCGTTGTTGGGAGGTGTTGCTGAGTGTCGGACTGCGATGTACAGCGAGGAGATTCGTCCCCTGGCAGGGTCTTCAAAGCTGGGAAGGAGCCCGGTGATTCCATCAAGAAGCTTAGCTAAGAGTAAAGCAATACCAGGATCCACCACCATCTTAGGATTAAAGTCGCATGGTGGTAAACCTTCCTCTGATCCACAAGGGCTGCGGATGCCTGTGGTGGTGTAGACCTGGGCCAGACTTTGGCCAGGTTTATCTCGAGATTCCAGGGAACCACAATGGCTTAACCAGCAAATCTCCGAAAAGTGGAGATTATGCTGGGGCCCGCACAACCAGTGAGGTCAGGGCGTTCAAGCATCAAGTAAGTAAAGTACGGATTCCTACTGATGTCATTCTCCTACACATACCAAATGTTGCCAAATCGTTTCACAACGAATGATATGAGACTTTATGGTTGTATCTGCGCAACTAAGATCTCATGAATACGATCATAAGAAAAACCTTTAAAAAAACCCACCTAAACACTTCTAAACCTCTCTGTTTATCTTTATTCTTCTCACATGATTTCGCTTTAGAAGGCATACCTAAAAGGAGGTAGATCGAGTCGTAGTTAAAACAAACATATCCATAACAAACAATCTTTCATAGTAAGGGGAACAAATAATAAAGAACGATTAGCGAAAACCACTATTGCTTGAGAACCCAGACACCAGCACTCAGCATCTGAGCATCGTTGCTCGCGTCGCGGTCGCGTGGCGTTTGGTAAGGTAGCGCTGCCATGAATAATTCCAATTCCAATGTTTAACGTTTTGTTTTCTGCCTTCTATAATTTTCATGGCAGGTTACTAAGAGAAATACAACCAAAACGTTGCTGAGATATTTGCAAAACTCTGGACCGCAGGTGTCTATGGTGGGGAACGAACGCGCTATTGTCCTTTCCGGGGAGTGATTTCAACTACAGCCATAGCTTAACTGGGTTCTATGCCGATTTGCGCTCCCCAAACCAACCCCGCTGACGGATGATTGCTCTGGCAAAAGGATCGATAGAAATAGCTGAGAGACAGGCGAAACGAAGGACCCGCATGATGTGGTGATGAACTCGTTACTTCCCGGAAAGGATAATAGCGCGTTCGTAACATTCTGAATGTCTTTTGTTATACATTTTAAGAATGGGCACCATTATATCATAGGTTTCCAGTCTAAGGATCGAGAATTGGTACTAGACCTGTCTGGGAGGATAGCAGCACTGTTTCGATGCATCGGTAGGCCATCGTGAGCCATTGTATAGGCCAGATATGCACTGGATCATCTTTACGATGCTACGAATGGAGTCGAATGCATGGCGCACTCAGGGATTGATCAACACAAAGATTTGTATGTATTCTTTCTTGATAAGCTTGCACGAGGTTGATAAATATATTTATTTTCGGCTAACGTTTCGACGTCTTCGTCTTCCTCAGAGCCGGTGATCCGAGTCGATGGTCCATGCTTGTTGTTCGTCTCGACGTTGCGTCTTCGCCTTCGTGTCAAGCCAGATCTTCCTCAGTGAGCCATCTTCTCGAATGAGGCATCCTCACTCAGTGATGCCCTTTTATACACGATGCTGATGGTGGATATATAATGACAATGTCCGGTGGTAACAACTTGTATTTCTTCCGGACATACATCATTGCGCACATCGTGGATCATCGTGCAACAAAGATTTGTTGCTCTATAGTCTAAAATTGTACTGAAGGGACGAGCAATGATAAGCCTCCTCTGTCAGATTCTTTCGGACGCAATCCAGAGAATGTAGGTGGAGAGCTCTTCGTTACCCGAGCTCCCATACGGACATCGCCCCTTTGGAACACTATCGCATTAAATTTTTGTATCTCTTCCTTTATGAAAATTAATTGTCTCTGTTCCTTAATTTTCAGCCATATTGGAACATTAGGCACACACGGAGAAGATCTTTGGATATTTCAAAAACCGACTTTAATTAATCCTTGGTAAGAATATTCGATAATTTTCTATGTGATTGCACTGACACGAAGTTGGTATAAAAAATTTCTCTTCGTCTGGAGCATTGGCTCTTTCGCCTTCTTCAGAGCCGCGTCGGTCCCAGGTTTCGAATATTGTAAATGCCTTATATTTATAAGGGGCGCGTGTGGAGCAGTGGTCGGAGGCGCCATGGAACAGACACGTGGAATCGATCCCTGCGCCAATGGCCTACCTAGTCTTCTATCCCACCACGGTGGGCAAATCGGTGCAAGACTTCTCTAGGAAGATAGTAGCACTGGCTCGACACATCGACTGGCTACCACCTGGGTTACTGGGACGGTCCGTCTTCACGAGTTGTGCGGACCCCAGCACATATGCCATTCGTTCCCTTCTCTCGCAATCGTAGTCCAAGGTGGTGGTCTTGTTCGAGCATGGTAGCGCTTGCGAGTCTCATACCGTGATCAGTTTGTTTACAAACACGTCCGACCAACGTGTAGGTAGTCGTCCTAGGAGACGTTCGCATTCTCTTGTAGTCCATTCCAGTGTTCTTTTCGTCTATCTGTCGCCTGTTCTTCTCATTATATATCACCGAGCCATCTATGTTTCGCTGTCGATGTATATTCTCCTAGATCTCGAAGATGTGACAGATTTCGAAGATCAGAGCTTCACATTCCGGGTAAATATTATACATCTACTGCCGGTTATACTTCAGAAGACATCGCTCAAGCGCTCTGTGAGTTCGAAGCATTCTTGACGTAGTTGAAGTATCAATCCACGTCTCTGCAGCATAACAGAGCGCTGGGAGGACCGTAGAATCAAAGAGGTGAGCGCGGATTTTCGGGTCCTTCAGTTGATCGGTGGCTTCTTTGAGAGGTCCAAATGCTACCCAAGCTGCACTCCTTCTATCTAATTCCTCCTTGATGCTGGTTTCCATGTTCATTGAGAGCCCAAGGTAAGCGTACGAGGTGGTCTCTGCAATGAGGGAGCCATTCAATTCTATTTTTTCGCCTTCTCACCATGGGTTTTTCATGAACTGGGTTTTCTTTCGATTTATGCGAAGTCCGATCTTTCCCCGCTTCGTTGAGCTCGTTGATCATCATCTCTGCTTCGCCAGTACTTCTTCAGAAGATGACAATGTCGTCGGCAAAACGAAGGTTTGATAGGAATTTTCCATCAATACGTATGCCTTTCTCATCCCAATCGAGTGACTTCATTATCCACTGCAGTGTGGTACTGAACAGCTTTGGCGATATTGTGTCGCCCTGTCGAACCCCTTTTCGTACGGTTTCGTATAGGTATTGTAAGAGGTCGATGGAAGAGCTGTGTTTTCGTAGTGCAGTTCCGATAACAGTCGGAGAGAGTCCTTATGTTGGACGGGTCTACTCCTTGGTCGACGAGCGCTAATAGGATTGCATTCGTTTCGACACTGTCAAACGCTTTCTCATAGTCGACAGAGGTTAGGACTGGAGGCAAGTAGTATTCCCGACAAACCTCAACGATCCCGGACACGGTTTGTATGTGGTCCATGCAGCAAAATCCTTTTCGAAATCCTGCTTAGTGGACTGGTTGTGCCTCGTCCAATTCCCTTGATATGCGCGAGAGGATAATCTTCGTGAAGAACTTGTAGAGTACACTTAACAAGCATATAGGACAGTAGTTACGAAGATCTCTTCGGTCGCCTTGGGCAGGATGACCGTGCGCGACGCCTTCCACTAGTCTGCGATTTTTTCCTTTTGAAAGTAGGCTGGCATATGATTTGCGAGAGGTGGTAAACGAACCTCCGACGGAAAAATTCCAGGTGGTTTTTTTCCAGCGGGGATGTTAGGGCCCGGGACGGGGATTGTGGAACGGAAAAGGTTGGTGTAGAACGTTTCCGCTATTAATTCCATATCATGTCGGGAAGATTTGACGATCCCATCTTCGTTCATCAGGGCTGACAGCGGAACATTATAATCGCACAAGTACCAACGGCATTTTTTCAGACTGCTTCTTCTCTCTGCTGCTTCCAGTATTTTCTTCTGCTTGTGACGTTATAGATGTTCCTGTAAAG